GATTCCGTGTATCAATCTTCATAAAATTTGGTCAAAATATCCACAAACACTTTATGAAACTAAGGAAATATCAAAAGTCTAAAAAAACATTTGAAAAGTTTCTTTTTTTTCGATTTATCCAAATATATGCCTCGGTTGAGTCGAGAGTTGCGAGTTAGCGACTGGCCTGTTCCTACTTCAAATTTATTCCTTGTATCAATTTTCATAAAATTTGGTCAAAATATCCACAAACACTTTATGAAACTAAGGAAATATCTAATGTCTTAAATAACATTTGAAAAGTATCTTTTTTGTCGATTTATCCAAATTGAAGCCTCGTTGAGTAGAGAGTTGCGAGTTAGCGACTTTGGCCTGTTGCTACTTCAAATTGATTCCGTGTATCAATCTTCATAAAATTTGGTCAAAATATCCACAAACACTTTATGAAATGAAGGAAATTTCAAAAGTCTAAAAAAAATTTTCTGCGAGAAGATATCACTCTTTTAAAGAAGAGTAAGTTTAAAGAAAAATATTCTGTATTTTGTATACCAATTTTGTATCTCTCAGAAATTTCAACAACTAATTTATCTTTGCGGGTCGTTATTAAGAGTATTTTCAATATTGTTAGAGGTTTTAGTTAATTATACTTTTTATCTAAGGTCTTGATTGAGATTAAAAGGGAAGTGCTACAAGTGTAATTTGGCAGGTGAATTTCATGGGTTCAAATCCAGCTTGTGACACTACCTTTTTCATCTCAACCAAGACCTTAGATAAATAGTATAATTAATACAGTCAATTATGACTTTTAAATACATATGTGGATTGTTAGAGATGTTCAACTTTTGACATTCTCATATTTTTTTCATTTTTTTCAGCAGATTTTTTATGCTCAACTCTTCTATGCAAGTACCACAAAAAAAGGAAATTCCACTCCCTCCCCCCAGACATTAGGAACATATTGGTGGCCTACAACACCCCAAGGACAACACCCCAAGAAAGTTTATTTTATCATTCAAATGGTTTATAATTGCCAACATCAATACAGTTTAATGATTATAACATACATAATTTTAAGAAGAATTCATTAATGATATTACATCTGCTCTTAATGATATATATGTCACATTTCAATTTATTTCAAAGTGACAATGTTGCGATTTAGATTTCATGATTAGGGCCTAGAGCAAAAATAAAAGAGGATCTAGAGAAATGAGGGAAGAAGTGAATAAGTCCATTCCGGTAGATGATAGACAAAAGAAGCGTGCGATCCTCAAAAGAATTTAAAAAGTGTTATATTCCCTAAAATAGAGGGCTTCGGTCCACTGCGGATTGACTGTAAACAGTGAGTACCTATCCACCCTTGTCTTAAATGGTCTGGCAAACGGTTTGCATGAAATTATTGTTTATTTAAATTAAAAAAGTTTTAATTGTTTGATTAAAATTTAAAACAGAAATTAATTGATTTTAATTGTTATTTTCTTGTGTAATTAATAAATTGTTTTCAAACTTTAATTAAATTTTATAATAAAAAGGCACCTGATTGGTTGTATTCAGGTTCGCTCTGGGGCTCTGTTTCTCATAAAAAGGATTCAGAGTTGGGCCCGTCTTGTTGAATCGAGAAAAGACCATGACATATACTTTCTCCTATTCGCAGACAACCGAATTCCATACAGTCCTTTCTGAATCTGACTGTGTTTATTTACAGTCCAAAATAATTAACCTGGAAAAGTGTTCCATCAACAACTATATGATCCACAAAATTAACACTGCAACAATCTCTCAAGTAGACTTAAATCTACCCTGGTTCCCAGACTCCTTATATAATATCTCATTGAGTAAAGTCAAAATTGTCTAAGATCTTGACAATCACTTTGACCAATCTCTCTCCTTTAATCACTATATTAACCTATTAGCCAGTAGAGCAAACAAATTTTTATTATTCATATGTCACTCCAAGGATTTTAATCCTTCAATTACTACCATCCTATACACTTCCCTTGTACGCTCTCATTTAGAATACTGCTCCTTAATCTGTCCCCACACTACAATTCCGATATTAAATTATTAGATCAAATTCAGCACTAATTCCTTAGATTAGGCTGCAGCAAAATGAATCTATGCTATTATGAGTTTAATTTCACTTGAATATTGTTGTATTACACTTGAGTCTTTATTCTCGTATAAACTACTTAACAACAAGATATAGTTAAGTTATTTCTACAAATAAATTTCCACATCCCCACTAACCGAGCCCAACCCTGCTAAGAGACTGTACAGGCTTGAAACCAAATTAATAGAGACTTCTTTAACAACTCTTTCAACGTTTAAAAATTCTCCTCTTGTTGTCCCTTCTCATATCAACAATTCATCTATTAATTTTGTCCTAAAGTTAAAAATATAAACATTATTTGTAACTCCAAGCTTGCATGATATGACCATAATATGAACTCTATTATTAAAACGGTCTACGCAAACCTCCATTCTCTTTTATGCCTTTGGTTTTTCATTCTACAGAAAGCTAGAGTTACCCTTATTAAATCCCTAATAATTCTTTTATTCCCTTACCACCCTTAGGGCACCATTTTTTCACTTTCGTCAGACTTCCAATCTGCTTATGGCCTTCAAATTTTGATCATTCCTGCATTAAACCAAAAGTTCATATTTCTTTATATATTAATGTGATATTGATTTGTTACTTTTATCAGACAATTTGAGTGTTCATTTCATTTATTATTATATATTTTAATTACATTTTATTTTTATTTAGTTATTTATTTATTAGAAATGATTTATTTTTATATTGCCATGTCATTATGTCTATTATTAGTTCTAATAAAATGTATTTTTCAATTGGTTTTATATTTTATATTCTATTTCATTGTAAATTTAACCACCGCAATCCAGCCCTCTAATGCTAAGAATGCAATTAAAAAAATGATTAAAAGGGGCAGTGTCGATAGGCCAGATCGGCAGAGAAACCTTGGCGTATCAAGAGCACTGTCGATGGGTGGCCTTCAGAAGATCTGACTCGTAGAAGAAAGGTCAATCTCACCCGATTAACAATAGGGCATGCAAGATTAACACACGGACTTGGGGGGCTGCGGTAGCCAAGTGGCTAAGGCGTCAGACTCTCGGCTAGTAATCCTGCGGTCGTGGGTTCGAGCCCCACCGTCGCCTCTGGACTTTTTCTGATGCCTAAAGGGACCGGTGGCCGCAATTGAAAGAAATTGACACGGCACTCATCAATGGAAGGGGCGGGATCGGATCTCAGCGACCCTGAATTTGGTCCCAACCCCCTTCAAAAATGAGTTTCTTCTATGGAAGAACACCGGCACAACAGGGGCTCAAGTTCACATTTGTGTTGCAAGCCCCCCCCTCCCAAAAAAATATGGAGCCAGGGATAAAGTACAATAAGCTGTACAGCTCAGCTGCAGTGCTCAGGAGGGAACTCCTCCAGTCCCTGGTATCCATTGGGGGAAAAAACCGGACTTTTAGTTTTGAACCAAAGCCCGTCTATGTGTCCGGCATGCAGAGAAAGGTTGCTTGATGTGTCCCACCTAATTGAAGGGTGCAATTCCATAGCTCCATTCAAAGAGCGTGAAGGGTTGCCACCTGATTTGAGAATTGTGTTTGAGCACGCAGCATGTACTTGGGTCCCCTATTCCGATTCTTGGAGGACATGGGGTTGTTCTATTGTAGATAGTAATAATAGTTGTATATACCTAGTTTGAGTTGAGAGTGAATTTATTAATGTGAATGTGTGGTATGAGAGGGTCGATACTCAATGGCAGAATAACAAGAATCCCATAAACCCCTCTTAGGCTATTTGTATAGTATATGTAAAGGGTGATCGAGGAATGTCAAGTACTCAATCACACTAATTGAATGAATGGGATGTAAATAGGAGTGTATCTATTTAAGAATGAATGTGAGTAAGAATGGGTTCGGACAGAAGGTGTTGGTTGCTGAATTGACCTTGCTGTTGACAGCACCCCCCTGGAGCCCAACCTCGGTGGCAGGTCAGATAAGGCTGAGGTCTGTCAACACCCGTGGTGGGTAATTCTCGAGTCTGTCACCAATTTACTGTAAATAACAAAAGTTGGAATCGCCAGTGGACTACGAGAAGCCTATAGGCTTAACATGGCAAATGTTTGTACGTATGTACGGATTTGAGCCTATATAAATCCAATCATTGTAAATTTTAGTTTACTTTGTAAACTGTTACTTTGTGACATTTTGTGCACATGAAAAAAGAGTGTGGCTGCCTGTTAAATAAATAAATACAATCAATTGCTGATCCCTTGTCGATGTTGATTTCTTGAGACAATGTATCTTACTTATTACTAGGTTTATTTATTAGTACTTTTGAAACTGATTCGATAATAATATTTTTGCGTACATTTTGGCCTTTTTCACAAGTTCAACTGGATACCATTATTCTTAGTATGATTCTAGTTCCTAATATCCGTGAAGAATGGACCTGTGTATCTTTTTAAGCCTTTTTAAGAAATATTGTGTCATTATTGGTAACATGTAATTACAACCAATAAAACAAAATATACATTCATCGGTGTTTGTTAAGAGTTCAACATAACCCAGTTTATAAAACGAACTTAAAAAGGAAAGGAAGAAGGAATAATAAGGATATTATTTATTTATTCTTGCAGCCATTATTTTTAATCTGAATCTGGTCATTTTTTCGGTTTAACTAAACAGAAATTTTGTATCATTTCGAAATTAACTGGCGGATGAATACGTTCACGACAAACGTACAGTTTAAACAAGCGAACAGCTGCTGCCCTGCTGGTGCCTGGTAGCGTCCTCTATCCTTATAGTCATGTACACCAAAGTATATACATATAATATACATACAAGATATAATCATGTATCATATTTGAATATCTTTATCGTTTAAGTTACCAACAATTTTGATGGGACCTTAAATGCAAATAATCGTAATTCAATATCACTGTTCTTGAAATATGATAATGCATTGATTCGTTAATACTGTTATGCGATCTTGAGTCGATCTTAGTTTCGTTCCAATGCCATCTTGTCGGCATGATGTTTTCTGTGTCATGTGTTTAGGTTGTCAATATACCAAATTATAACTTTCGTTTTATCGTTTCCCAATAAGATTAATTTTGGATTCGGAGAATTCATCGGGAGTGAAGCGTTAACCCTAATCCTCCTCTACTTGATTGGATTAGGTCGCGATTCTGTCGACAGCCCAACGGAGGTTTGTTTTGTTCTTCGCATGATTTTGTGTGAAATGAAGGTCGGAATCGAAGTTATTTCGATCCGTTCGTCGAACGCACCCAACTAGGTAGTATTGGACATAGCGTACAGATAAATGTTCATTGTTTAAAACTGTGCGGGAAGATTGAATAGAACCTGGAAATGGATTCTGGCCGGTATTATTCCAGCGACGAAGAGTTACCGCCTCGGGATGTGTTCAGACCGAACGAAGCTTCCTCCTCGCGATCCGGATCCGTGGGCAAATCTAATAATAGTTACAAAAGTCACGCTTATTCCCCTGAAAGGACCAGCCCTCCTTATTCCAAGCACAGATCCAAAGAAGACAAAAAGTACTATGACAGACACAAGTCTCACAGAAGAGATATATCCAAGGACAGACATTCTCAGAAATATGAAAACAGAAGCCGTAGTCGGAGTCGGAGCAATCGGTCGAGAAGCAATAGCAGAGTGAAATGCTCGAGAAGCAGAAGCAGGGGGAAGCGGTCAAGAAGCAGAAGCCCAAGACGCTCCTACAGGGATTACTCTCCGAAGAGAAACATAGACTATGCTGAAAGGAGTCCAAGGAGGAAACACGATACAAAGTCAAACAAGCTGTCAATACTTGAAAAAATGGGAATCGATTTGAAAGTACCTGAAAATGAGAAAGGTGGTTCCAGTTCGATTGTACCTAGTTATTATAATCCTCTTGTCGCCAACCCGGCCAAGTATGCTGAACAGATCGCCAAAAGGAAATTGTTATGGAATAACAAAAAAGTGAGTAAAGATGAAGGTGAAACGGTAAAAAATGCCAGCATATGGCAGGGTGCTAAGTTCTCTCAGGATCAAGACGGGAAGATGACTGCCAAGTTCCAACGGCTGATGGGAATGAAGGAAGTTCCACCTAAAGAAGTGCAAACGGAGCAAGACGGTAAAGTCAAGGATTTGTTCAAAAAGCAAGAGGAGCTCTTTTCCTCAATGGAAATGCAGTACGAAGTGGCAAGGGCAACTACACATACTCAACGCGGTGTTGGGCTAGGCTTTGGACCTCGACACATACCGTGATTTTACTTCCTACTGTCATCAACTTGACATGTATTATTTTACATATGTATTATGTGACAAAATTATTAGGCATAAAATTAATAATTCCAAAAGATATACAGTACTGTACAAATTTAAAGTTGTCTGTAACTAAATTGAAATGAAAATATGGCCTTTTCAATTATTTTAAAGAAAAAATATGCCAAGGATAAAGCTTCTGTTTTCACCTTATTTTAGTATTTGTATCACAAATACAACATTTAAAATTATATGTCTTTTATTACTTGAATCCACATACCATATCTTTTAAGCATAATTGATTTTTTATACACACATTCAAATAACATACTTCTATTCATGTTTTAAACTTTTTTATGTATTTATACAACAATATAAAAAAAAGAAAATGAAATTTATAATATGATAACTACAAGTTTTATTCTTACATAACGATCAGTTTATTCATTATATGCTACTAGTATTTTAATTATTGAAATATGGAATTTTCATAAGATTTTATGCCATAATTTAATTGGTGTACAATATAATGTATTTTTTTATATATACAGGGTGTCAGGCTACTCGTGCCAGAAACTTTAACAAGGAATTTCACACCTCCACTGACCAAAAAAGAACCAAGGTCTGATTCTCAACCTTTTGCAGTTATTCAACATTTTATTTTATATATATTTTATTTATTTTTTTACTCTTCTCTTCCGGTTGTTGACTTTTTATATTTCTTGGGTTTCTTTTCAGGAACTAGACAACCATCAAACTCACTTTCTTTAATAAATATATGTGTGATATTTATCTCAGAATCTCTAAATAATCACTAAGAAATATATTTTTTATTTATTTTTTTCAGTTATCTACAGTTTTTGTCATAAATCTACTTGTTGCTCCTGAACTATTCATTTTTGGGGAAATCCAAAAAATGCATAGAAAAGAGCATTAAATTTCCTTTAAAAAGACACCCTTATAGAACTTTCAATCAATTTTTGGCAAAAAAACAAATCTTTCAAAAACTAGTAAATTTGACATCTTGGAAAAATGTATGGCAAAGCTTGACAAATTTCACAGCAACTTCACTGTTCAATAAGCTTTTTGTGGTATACCCTTGTCTTTAATCACATTAAACCATTTTATGCTAAATGGGGGGGAAAAAGTGGTGATGTGTTAAAAAGGGAGAATGGGTAATTCAACTTTTGTTCTGGGTAAAATTTATTTCCCTACTTTAACTTAATAAAAAAAGTACCAAAAGAAAAAAAATGAAATAACACATATAAAGAGACAACAAACAAAGCAAACAACCAAAGCAGGAAAATTTGGACAAAATAGCTACATAAATGCAGACAAAAGGGGGGAAAAATAATGCTGAAGTTGTAAAACCTAACCCTAATCTAAAAAAAGCACAAAAAAGAAAAATTCAATATAAAAATCAAACAAAATAGAAACTTAAACATAGCAAACAATCAAATTATGAATTTTTTGTCACTCTGGAGGTTCACTAGCAAAGTTTGCGATACGAGTAGCCTAACACCATGTGTAAAGTTTATTAATTGAATATATTGAAAAGTTATTTGAATTAGTTTTTCAAAATAAATAAAACTGATATTAAAGAAAGCAATAGATAATATAACCGAGAGAGATTATGTCACTAAATCCTAAATAATTAAACCTCTTGAAATATTTCTGATATAATGCAACTCAAAACCGTGTTCTTAAGTGGCTTTTGAAGCATGGAATGATATTAATTTTTAGTTTTCAATTGATTTCAATTCTTCTACCACAAAAATATTGCTGAAAGGGAGGTATGTTCTTTCTAATCTATTTGGATTAGATAACATAATCAAAAATATATCTATAAAAATTGTAATTTCAGAAATTGGGTATTTTCATCCTTTACAAGTGGCAGCTCAAGCAATAATGTTTCACAAGTTTGTTACATTAGAAATACTTTTCATATCTTTCCTCTTTAGTTGTTGTTACTCACAAGGTAAATATGATCTGAGTATAATTTTAAGTTTATAATAATATTAATACAATAGTTTGTAACCAAAGTTTTGAATGATGATTGGCTCAGAAAGTACTTGGAAGAGTTGAAAGTGATTTTGAAGAATGGCGATGAAGAAATGGGAATTCCAAAACTTGATCCATATTTCTTGAACTACGATGTTGTTATAGATAGACAGCCAAAAATGAAGTCTGTTCCAATTCTATACTTTATTTATACTGTAATTTTATTGCAAACAATGTTTATCTCATCTCTTTTCCTTACAGCGCTACACTTCATGTTGATGGTGTTCTCACAAACTTCTCAGATTATATTGTCAGTTATGCTAAATTGGAGAAAAATCTATCTGTTTCTTTTCTATTGACATTTATAAATCCGACATTCAAAGGAAGATTCTCAATAAATGGAACTGCAATGACAGTTATACCTGTGGACAGTGAAGGAATTTTACAGTACATGCTAATATTACAGTTACTTTTTAAAACAAGTTATTCAGCCATATGTAAAATTTCAGGAGTGGTTTTAACTACTTGGCAATATTAGTGGAATCTCAAATTGTGGCTCAAAATCAAACAATTCAAATGAATGACATTTCATTTGCGTACAGCCTTGATGACTTGAAGGTAATTCTTCAAAATTGTATATATATAAAAAGATGATTCCCACCTTATAATGATATCTTGGGACTAACATTTACAGGTTACTGTTGAAGGACTTCTTGTTGACTTTGGTTTTACATATTTACTCAGAGATGTTATTTATGATGTGGTTTTTCCATTAGTGACTAAATATCAAAATGGTATACAAAATGCTATACAAACTACACTTCTTAGTATTGGTAATGTTGAATTAAAAGAAGTAGGACTTAGATCATTAATTGAAATGGTTAAGAAGAAATACATCTTTTAAAATGTTTAAAAACATGAAATGTAATGTTTTTGATGAGAATTTTTAACAAATCAATCTAAATATTTGTTTTTTATTTATTTAATTTTCATTAAAATATTATTATGAATTTCATTAATAAAATGATGATTATAAAATGGATCATACTTGTACTTTTTTACAATCATTAAATTTATATTTTCTTTATTTTAATTCATCTCAAATAAGAAGGGTATTACTTCATACTGGGTATTTCTGGTGAGGGATCATACCATTATACAGTTCTTTTTTAAGTTTTCAATGGAGTACATAGTTTTTATTTATCTCGATAATACTAATAAAGTAAACATTATTTTATATGAATAGTAAGTTTAATACCCTAATCAGCGAAGCTCTAGTGCATGTTTTGCTTACTAAATTGTTCTACATATCCTTTATATTTAAAAAATATCCAAAAATCTAATCTACAGAAACAACCTATAGAAGGAGAAAAATAAAGTGTAATATCAGTGTGTACACTGGGAGGCAAAATCAGTGGCCACTCCCATTTTTTGTTTCAGTAAATAGTTGCAAGTTTTATAATTTTTATTTTTTGTTGTTTACTGGATATTTGTAAAGAAAAATATAAGATATTGCTAAATAAAAATTTAAAAAAACTAAACTGAGTAAAACAATTTTGCCAAAAATTATGCTATGGAAAGAATGAAGAAAATGTTCAATTCAATATGGAGTATATCCTCTCTTGCGTTGATCACCGCTTGCATTTGGCGTGGCATCATTTTTATGAGGTTTTGAATGTAGTACTGTGGAATATATTTATACTCCTCCAACAGGGCCATTTTTAATTCTTGCAAATTCTCTAGCATCACTGGGTGACTTTACCCGTTTTGACAACTCATCCCAGGTGTTCGATAGGATTAAGTTGGGACCATATGCTGGCCACTGATAGAAGCCCGTTCCGAGTAGTCACCAACTATCCTAGCTGTGTCATGCATAAAAATAAAACAGTCGCCAATTAGTGGCATATAAAGACGTAAAAATGTACAACTTAAATAGAGGGTTAGAAAGAAGCTTTACAGAAAAGCCAACAAAGAAGAGATTGACTGCTCACAAATTTATTTCTAAAAACCAATTGTAAACACAAGTGAGAGATTGTGTTTTATTTACCTCTAATTCTTTAAAACGGACCAAATAGTGTTGTAAGATAATAAAGTCATGTTTGCCGAAAGTAATTAATGGTAAAGAAATTAATGGTAATTTTGATTGCCGGTTGAGTAGGTAATAAAGTATTTTAAATTGTTTGTTAAGAGCCTGTTCTTTTATTCATGTGTATGGCTTCCAACATAGCTCTCTATCAAATATAAGTCCTAAATAAGAAACTTCGTCAGATTGTGGAACAGGTTTATTGTGTAAATATATGCTGCAGGGGGGGGGGTTAACTTTATTTTATAAAGATTGCTCCATATTTCAATTGTAGACATGTGGTTTTGTAACAAGGAAAGCTTGTGAAGAAGAAGGGTGTCTTATTAATATGGTGATGTCATGTGTTATGTGGCAGTGCATTCTGATTTGTGGACATATCAGAAGCAAAAATTGTGGAACTTTTAACTTAATTAACTTAAACTTTAATTGTGGAACTTTTATCTCAGAATTTTTAAAACATTATTTATTTTTACAAAGTTTCAATGCCTAAAAAATTACACATGCAGTAGCAGTTCAACTTCTTATGAAAATTTACTTTTACAACAATGTTTATGAACTTAATATATAAACAATTAATAACAATTGTTATAGTGGTTTTAGTGATAGTGGAAGAGAGAGTGAGTGAGAGGTCTCAGAATTCAGACATTCACAGATCACAAAGCACAATTCTCAGATATATGCTCAGATCCAGGAATTCTAGTCTTAAATTAGTTGAAACACATCTAACAACATTTCTTTGCATGTCTGATATTAGACTAGAACACATTATGTTGGGGCCGGCCTCTTTATGACCTGCACACTGTAACCAGTAATGGTCTATTGTGCATCTCTATTCTTTTTCTATCTAGAACTCCTGAACAGAGGACATGTTCTAGTATCTTCTTCTTCTTGGCAATATCTGCATAGGCTTGTTTCTGCCATTCCAAGTCTATACATATGCCTCTGGAGTCTACAGTGTCCAGTCAGCATCCAACTATTATTCTAGTCCTAGCACGTCGTAGATTTAGTAGTTCAGCTGTTAGTTTCTACGATAGTCCTTTAATAAAAAATGTTTTATGCCTCTGTCCCAGGCTACATCTGCCTCAATGGACTAAAAAGGAGAGGACTCGGGGGAGCATCAGATACAATGATATGGTACACAGATGGCTCCAAAACAATTGAAGGAACTGGATCGGGTTTTTTGTTCAAGCCCAAGATATGAGCAATCAAACTCATTAGGGAAGTACACTTTGGTCTTTCAAGCAAAAATTCATGCCATCAACGCTTGTGCCCTAGAAAATCTTAAAAGATGTTTTACTGGCAAATTTACTTTAACGAATCCTTTACATTAACAAAATCATTACAGTATTGTTCAGAAACTGGAAGAACTAATTGTTAATTTTATGAAGAGTAACAGTAATAACAAATGTCAGAAAAAAAAAGATTAATTTAGTAAGTTGGTCTAATATAGTATATACAGTGAAAGATTTAGTTTAAAATAATAAATAAATAAGTTAGTTCAAATAATTAAATAAATAAATAAGTTAGTTTAAATAAATAAATAAGTTAGTTTAAATAATTAAATAAATAAATAAGTTAGTTTAAATAATTAAATAAATAAATAAGTTAGTTTAAATAATTAAATAAATAAATAAGTTAGTTTAACAAATTAGTAACAAATTGACAATTTAACCTATATTTGGGATAAGAAAAATAAATATAGAATCCTTCATCGCAGAATGGATCCAAATAAAACAAAACGCGAAGTGGATATACTCTAGCAGCACTAGACAAACAACCAACAAGATTGGCAAATGCCCTGCTGCAATTGGAGAGGGCTAAACACACAGGAGTGATAGGACTAGTTCACTGGCATCTAAAAAAGCATCGACACAACATGGGCATATATAATGATGATCCCATCTGCAGATTATGCAATGAGGTGGAAACAGCCACACACATCATCTTCAAATGTGAACAACGGCTCAATGGAGATTAAATCTAACACAGAATTGTAGCAGCGACAGTCAATGACCTGATACTTCCAAGAAGAAAGATTGAGTCATTGAACACTGTACAGTACAGAACTAGGGAACTAGGAAGGTACAGTAAGCCAGAAGGTGGCAGTTTCTGGGGATCACAAACCCCGCTTCCTAGTATCCTAATTACCATTACCATTATCTGGGCAACATTCTCATTGAATAGAGAACAATTAGGTTTAATCCATTATGTAATGGATTCGTGTTTTTGGTTTGGTAAGCCACAAAAGGGTTCTGGGTCAATAGGTGACATCAAAATTTCCTTGGTCATTGTTCGAGAGTTGGTTAAAAAAAAGTTTCCTCTCGGTTTAATTTAAAATTACACTTTTATAAGTTGTAACAAGACAAGAAATCTAGCGTTTCACTTAAACTTTCATTTTTAAAAATCAATAAATTAAAATAAATGTAAAATGTCTGGTCCACGACTTGGAAAATTTACATAAGGTGAGAAATGACCTTGTGATAAATTCATTTTAAGGATGGGGCGCTTGAATTGACTTGAACTAATATATTAGCAAAAAATAAGTAAAAAAGTTTTAAAGATTGTTAGAAATTTTATTTTTGGCAAAGAATTAAAATGGATGGGAGATGGATAAAACAATTTCCTTGTGTTTAAGAATAGGGATTTTTGTATCATAGGCGTCCGATCGCCGGCGTCGAGTTGGCCTCACTGCCAATCCCACAATTCCTACATACAAACTACATATGTCAGTAGTTCACCTCTTCTTTATCCGTGTGGCCCGTTTTGTAAATATTTAGCTACAGTTAGGTCGGACAACAAAGATTGTCGTCCAAACCTAAACCGAGTATAACAATTGTCGAGTTATTTCATACTTGTGCGTTAACAAAATCGCACTCTCCATCGGGATCGTTTATTGTGATTAATTTGACATTTAATCGGAAAGGATAATAATAAAAGTAAGTCAGTTTTTCATTACATTTGTTTATTTTTGCCTAAAACGATACTCCACTGTTAGTTTCTAGCTTAAATCTCGTTTGGTACAATAATATGAAATGTTCTAATTGTTGGGTAATATCTTTGATATCAATAATTCAGCGGAAGGTGTGTTTTGGTGAAATAAAATTGCCCGAATCAGGCGATTCGTCGAGTAATCAAGTGTGTTTTATTAAGCTAGCTTTTTAGGCACGTACTATGCCTAAAGAGGACATACAATCCAAGTCCATTTTAGAAAAAAAAAAGCGTTTGTGTTTCCTGCCCGGTCCGGTATATCATGTGTTTTTAAAGTCCAACTCTTGGAAATAAACGAGTGGGAACAAAATTAGGAATCGGTCGACTATTTATTATTAGCCTAGAGAACTCAACTACTACTCCTAGTGAAAACATATTATTTGCGTTTGGAACGAGGTTTCTAGATTTTGTGGGCAGATTTCCATAAGTACTGAAGACTGTTGATTGTATTGTTTACTTTCCGAGTTACGTTATCGACGGCCAGTTCACGGGAATACAGATATAGACCTAAGCTAAAGAATCTAATAGTAACTTACATTTGACTAATATCACACAAACTCGATATTCTAGTGGTCAAGTTTATTTTTAACCATTGACAAAGTATTATATTGTATGTGTTGGATTATTATACAAATTAAAAAATGATTAAGTTAAGGTAAATTATACTTTAAATTGTCTGTAATATACGATATACACTGATTTCAAGTGTAATATAAATTGTGTGGCATGAACCTTATGACCTTAGGTGTAAAGAATAATGCAATCATCAAAAAAATATCGCTATGTACGAAAGAAATTTTCGATACCATGTCGTTTAACCTTTTTGTCCAGAGTATGGGGGTAATTTCACAAGTTGGTCGTTTTTGGTCTGTCAGACGCGTTTGGGCACTTCGCCATCTTCAGTGCTGAGCTTCTGTCTTATATCTCAGAAAAGCCGAATCGCGGCAGGCAGACCAAAATGATAGGAAACGACAAAACTACACGCTCGTCACACCGCAGACAGCATTAAAAAATATAATTTGACAACTTATAGCGTGGTCTTTTGATCATTTTGGTCTGCCTTTCCTTGTTGTTTGGTCTGCCAAATCTTCTGTGCTGGGCCTCTGTGTTATATATCAGAAAAGTCACAAATCCAGCACTGAAGATGGCGAAAAGTCGAATCGCATCTGGCAGTCTAAAATGATCGGGAACGATAAAACTCCCCTCCCGGCATGCCGCAGAAAACAATAAGAAATATAATTTGACAACTTATAGCTTGGTCTTTTGGTCATTTTGGTCTGCCTTTCCTTGTTGCTTGGTCTCTCAAATCTTCAGTGCTGGGCCTCTGTCTTATATCTTAGAAAAGACCCAAATCTAACACTGAAGACTAAAAGCCGATCGCGTCTGGCAGACCTAAACATCAAGGACAGGCAGATCAAAATAATCGTATAAGAAAAAATTATTGGCCCGTTAGAAGAATATAAGAGAAATATTAAGAAATATAACAATTTGACAGCTTAAAGCTTATCCGATTCCGATCATTTCTGAGTGTTCTATGCACTTGCCATGTATCATACCATAGACCACAAGAAGAAATATCGCAACTTAACTGCAAACAACAACCATCTGTCATGGTTTGGTTCGTTTAATTAGAACGACACTACTTCCACTCTCCTTTTTTTTTGTAGTCCCTTGAAAATGTTTTTATTTGATCCGTTAATTAATTTTCAAATTTGCAAGCTGGCTTCTAAGATTGATTACACTACCAATTTAGTATTATTAACTGGCAGCTGATTCCGTTATCAAAAAATAATAGATAATTTTACTTTTATTTTCAATTAATCGCAAATGTTCAGTCATTACATGTCAGAATTATTTGTAATATATTACTCTTTTGCCATTTGCGTGAGTGGACATTTTCGTTTTTTTTTTTTTTTTCTTTTTTTTTTTTTCGCCTTACCAATCCATCACCACGGTTTTTTTTTTAACGAGGGTTTGCAACAGCAGAGGTCATATAAACCCTCAGGGTGCCTCTGTTTTTGAAAAAAAGCCCATTTGTAAGTATGTCGGGTTCGAATGCAGGGCCGCTGGATTCGAACCCGGGACCTTTACCTTACAGTGATGAGGGCCGTTTCAACCGTTGCAGCCACCGACGCCCCCCCCCTTTTTTTCATGGTATTGTTTTTGAATTTACGGTGTTCTTTTTTTAAATGATACAATTTAGTCTTTTTTTTTCTATTTAACTAAATTCAACATGATGTGTGTAAAATATATAATATTATTGTGCTTAGTACTGTCACTGAGAGCTGAAATTATCTGGTCTATCACTTGATTTTTGTTTTAATCATAACCCTTCTGCCTGCATCCTAGTGTTTTATGATAAGCATACAGGAATATAACATGGTATAATGATTTATTATACACGCATGCACAATAAAAAGAAAAAAACGAACACGTTGAAACATAGTACTGCACTCTTATCACATTATAGCTTTAGCTGCACCGTCGAGTTAGAGCCTTCAGCCAGGCTTGTGTGATAGATTTGAGCTCGTTACTGATCAATTTACCGATCCGTCTATTCGAACTACGTTTCATTCAAACGCGTTTCGGCTTCTTCAGCGAGGAATTGTCTTAGACGTTACCTAACCATAGAGAATAGACGGGACCAGGAAAGTGATCAGCGATATGACGATTTAGCTTCTTATCGCCAGTATAGATTTTTTGTGAGTATAAATGAGGAGATGAAAGTATGCCGAACCGATTTCAAGGTTACTGTGTCGTAAGACTGGGAACTTGGACCCTATTGATTTGCGAGTTGTTAGCTGAACTCCATATTAGCGATATTACCAGCGTTTTGTAAACGATGAGTTTTGTTTGAAAACTACATGCATTTTGAAGTAATTATGGGGTTTTGCTAGATTTTGTTCCGATTGCGTATTTTTGAGACGCTTTTTTTTAAGTGGTCCACGTCGGCTCTGTTTCGGGCGATAACCTTTGATCGTGATAGTCCTGTGAGCTTGCTAGTTATGTAATGAACAGTGAATTTACATTTGTACTTGAAAACTATGCGGCTATAGCTCATTCATGCTACGGATTGTCGTAGTAATGAAATTCTCCACCCGGTGCAGTCGCTTTCACCTTTCACACGAGACTGAACGGTCACCGCACTCAGTCACCTAATAAATAATCCGTGGCAATAAGAATGAACAGGATAATCACTCACCACGTATTTAGCGGGTTTAGACATAATTTGTGTATAACTTTATTGTTATTCTTATCCAAATACTGTCCAGATCTCAGTTTGTCGATGCAAAAAGCTTCATTTGTGATGCGCAACAAAAGCAAAGTGCATGTTTCGATTCGAGTGAGAAACTAGACCTCGGTTAATTAATGCTCTCCTAGGTTTTTTTTTCCAAACTTATTAATCTGACTGCAGAAAGTCATTGCACCAGGTTGTGTTTCTAATTCTCGAGTAGTTTAGGATAAGGAGACTCGTTGAAATTGCGTTGTCAAGTCTTATCAGCCTACCACGTTTTTTATTGCGATTAGTAAAATCTTCAAACCACAAATTTCAATAATTCCGTTCTTTCTTTATATTTGAAATACTTCTGACGTTCTATGTACGAGTGTTAAATTCATATTGAATATGGTGCGGATTTCCGAGAATTGCATAATTTAAAAAGCAATTAATTTTCAAGCTGTGTTTAATAGCAAATTAAAAACTAAGACTGATTGCCAACAATAAATTAATACTATTTAAAGTGGTATGCATAATATTTGTGGGTTGTTAATAACAAAACGTTATTGCTGCTAATACTGCTAAAAAGTTGTTGCCGAATGAATGAATGAAGCTAATGACTTTCATACTGGTGGAACAACAGCATAAATACAAAAACCTATCTGCCTAAAGTTACTACTATACACTTGCTACAATAAAGCCGTAAAACGTACTTATTATCAAGGCTTGAAGTTGCTAGAAAGTAAGCACAATAGTCCTTGATGGACGCGGTGGAACAGACTATTTAGCCACAACATAAACAAATCAATCTTAATCTATACATTTACAACAATTGGTTACGGTATCTACGGTTACGGTAGCTAAATGCATACGTACAAAATATACTATCAAATTTAAAAATGTTATATCAGACTCGCTCTTAATTAGACCTGAAACTGTTAAAGATCTTTGTATCATTATTGGCACTCAGATAAACCTTCACCCACACATTAGTAAATCTAGCTAAAGCAATTATGGATGTTTTACACCCCATACTAAACATTTCCATGATCCAGATACACTTAAAAGATATCACTTTGGACATTTTAAAATAAAGACAGACAGACAGATATAAGACCAATTCTAGATTACTGTTTACTTCTTTGGGCTCCCATTCAATTCACCCTTATCAGTCACATAGAAGCCGATCACAAAAGATTTTTACGCCTGATATTATTTGATTGCATATTATTACATTCCTTAACTGATTACCCAGAGAAAAAGTGTGATGGATTTATCTTGGGACGTAAGGTAAGACTATGACGTTTTAACTTTTTAACTTAAGCTGTTCTCTTTCTTCTTTAAAGATGTCAATGTTGCAAATATGTTCTAATCGATGGGTGTTCATTTTGAGAAAGCGCTGCGTATCACACTCTCCGAACGAGGAGAAAAATATTCTAACTTCCTAAATTTGTCGTCGACGTGTAATTATTCAACCAAGTTTATTCAGAGTCACTTCTTAAACAAACTCTAATTTAGTTATATTATAAATTCACTAATTTCGTGGTCCGCTTGACCAATTAATATACTACAATTAGTTAAGGTTTTTAGTTGACATAAAAAAAGTTAATGGCACGAGCGGGATTCGAACCCACGATCTTCGGCTTGATACGCCGCTGCTGGCGATATTGAGATAGGAAGTTGGTGTCCGAGTGGATCGAGGTCACGATAGCTCAAGTGGTAGAGCAGCGGCGTATCAAGCCGAAGATCGTAGGTTCGAATCCCGCTCGTGCCATTGACTTTTTTATCTCAACTAAAAACCTTAATTAATTGTAGTATATTATAAATTTTTACAGGTATAGTTTATAAATAATTCGAGCACATTTACTCTATTGAATCGTGATGTTAATTCCTGGGATCATTCAATTTGTTTTAGCAGTATGTTTAATGAACAAATAAAGACGTCAAATAAAGAAATAATTTTATTTTGTTTTCACGGCATGATTTCAAATGCACAGGTATGGGCTTTTCAGTAAACGAGATTAACGTAGCGTACGTAGTTGAAATTTCAGTTAATAAATTTGTTGGCTGACTCCATGATGTCCACGCTGGTGCCATTTAAATTGACCTTTTCCACCGAACAATGCGTTCATTTTCCACATCCTTCTATTGGGCTTTATTACCCTGCACATCGATTGAGATGTGAGATGCCAGAAAATAATAATTCTCGCACGTGCGTGTCTGTGTGCTTCTGTTGGCGAGCGTGCATGCGTGTTTCTCCCTCCCACCTGTGTGTTAAATGTGCCCTTACACACCCAGGTTCAGAATTAATGGTAATAACTCGGAAATGTCTTTTTTTTCTTTAAAAAAAAAAAGAGAATTCGTTAAACGGTGTTCAGGGTAGTGGTTTGTCTAGGAAGGGTGTTAGGTTAAAATTTGTTAGATTATTAAATCCTCTGTACAAGGCAAATTATTGAATGGGCAATGAGGGAGACGTATTTCAGGAAATTGAATTATAAAAATCGTTTGTTTTTATACTTTTGGGCAATATATATAAAAATGTTATACATAAAGATGTGAAAACAGTTTCTATTAAATGATTATCTACTAAAATGATTTATTATTATTTCTAAATGGAAAGTCACTATCCATCACACCAATTAGGTATAGATTACATGTTAGCACAAACGAAGAACAGTTTTATAAAAAACACAGAACGGCTCTAAATAACTTGACAATAAAAGGGACATAAATTATGGTGAAGCCAACATATACCAGTGTTGAACGATTTGTAAGGTTTCGGTGGAGGAAAGTGTAAAAAGCTATCAGGGATAGAAGAACCTTCTTTGCGACCATTGACCTTTGAATATCTTCCTTGTTTCTATTATTTTATAATGTAATTATTGTAAGAATATGGTATGTACAGTGCCAAATGAAAAATAAGAAACAAACGAAAAAGCTATTTTTTACTAAATAAACAAGTCAATAAAATAACCCAAAAATAAAATTTGTCTTATAGTCACTGCCAGACCGTTGTTATTACTCATATTCATAAAAACAAAAATACAAATCGTAATTGCAAAAGATTTTTAGAAGAGAGGTGGCGAACTTTTTTCAGCTTTGATGTGCATAAATTTAAAATAATTAGATATAGGAATCTAGATATGAAAAGTTGGTGAACTTGGTAGCAAAAAAAGGTTTATTCACTTTAAAAAATTTATTTAATCGTTGAAATATATATCTTTTATATATGGGAAAAGTCCAATTAATTATTGGAGATCCATTAAGCGTAGAAAATGGGAAAAAAATTATACCAAAGAAATTTAATTTACATAACAAACTAGGTAATTTTTTTTAGAATGTTAAATGACATTGAAACTAAGTGGAAATAGTTCAAAATAATTATTATTTTGTACTTCTGGCAGCAATTGAGCCTTTTGTTAACGTATGTGAGTGTATATCTAATCTTTTGGAACAAACATGTTCGATTGATTGAGGCATTGTTAGAGCTGTAAATGTGATTCATGTATCTTCTTTCTCAGATACGTTTAACTGATCAATTTGAAAAAAATAGTGGATCAAACTTAAATTATAAATTCTGGATTTTGAGTTAGGTTAGTAGGATCCGCAATTCTGTTTGATGTTAGCCGTTTTATGGTATTCGATAATCAAAATTACAATTTATTTGGTACCATTGACGTTACAAATTATATCTGCATTATGTATCGGTCAGTTGTTGATAAAATAATATTAGAATCTTTTTGATGGTTATTTGTGTTTCGCTAACGGCGGATATTTTTGAGTAGCATGTTTTCGTTTGTTCAGTAAGAGTTTTCATTTTTTTTTTTTTTTTCGGTGTTTTGGATGTGCTGGATATTGGGAATGTTAAATTGAGTCGTGCTAGATTCATTGAATGTTCTTCCAGGTTTACTAGAGTGTACATAGATTTGTACCCTAGCATGACGTACTAACTCCTGTTGACTGGTTCCTGATACCTTAGCTGTAAACCAGATTTCAACTATTGATTACTTATATTTCTTATCAGTTTAAATCTTTATATTAAAGAAGGAATAAAAATATCGATATCCAAACTATGTGGTGATTTAGGAGTATACAGTGTACGTCTCATACTAGTTGTTCATTGCAATATTAAAACAACAATTAGCTTTAATCTTAGAAACCAATCTTTAGGTGCGAAAGTAATTCCAATATCTTTTAAATTTATTGCTACCAATTTTATGACTCCTCAATGATACAGTATGTGCCTCATTTGCACTTCCTGAATTTCAGCAGTAGAGTTGTTAATTTCATACATGATTGCATCCCATGATTTCCTGGTATTGTTTATTAACGAGATATTAATTACCAAATATAACTTAAAATATGTACCTCTATTTCCTAGTATAACATAATTCGTTTATTGTTCAACTCAAAAAGACGTAGCTTTTTGATAATTTTCTGATATTTAAAAATACAAATTAAGCTTGTTTTCCCTGTTTAGATCCAGTACAGTCAGTAACAGGACCTTTAACTAAGTGTTTTGTATAACGAATGTCACAAATGACTTATTTGTTTTATTTTTGCCCAATTCATTCAATTCTAATGTATCAATACTAAATTGAGTAACAAAAAACCAATAGTCACAAATAAGAAAACAATGGATTGAGGGGGTCGTTTTCTGAAGACTACAGACGATAACCCCGGTCTAAGCTCCGCCGTTCTTCCAAATTTAGATTCATATTTGGAGCCTCTCCAAAGTTGGTGATCACGGTGTCAGTAGCCTACAGCAGGTTCGCCACCGAATAGTGACATTTTATGTATACTCTTCCTAGTCTCATTCGCCGAATGGAGCGTTAGGTGAAAGAAATTAGTCTGAATGGTTCTCTTGTTTATACATTCAGAAAGGTTTGTTCACATATCAGGGTCGGTGAGTTTTTTCTACATATAAGTTACTAAGACTTTTCACAATACATGTACAATTGTTTTTTAAAGGTTTCAGTTATTAAGTATAGTTAATAAGTAACAACACTAGTGAAACTTACACCCAACCTTATTTTAGTAAGCTATAATTTTAAGCCTGGTATTAGCATTTTATAATTATTTAAATTAAATTTCATTTAAATTATAATTATTTTAATAGGTTAATTTCTACACTGGCACTAATGTTTATTAAAAACTGATTAGTCACTTTGTTTGTGTGATCATTCAATTTTAATAAAAATAAATTGAACAAGATATTATCTGGCACATTCTCGTGAACCTTTAAAATTAACAATTTGGGAAACTAGTCTTTTTCAATTCAATAATGAGGTCGTCGTGCGATGCCCGCAACTGTTTAGGTGTTGACACGGCGAATCATAACTGTAACAGTACCTGTGGCTCTGAATTCGAACCCAACGTATAGACATAGAAATAGGTTTTTTTTTCTAAAACACTTGGTCCCCAGGGTTTATTATTGAGAAAATAAATCAATCAACGATCGATTGTTTTATTCAAAACCTATTTTTGTTTGTTTCAGATCGCTTTCGATGATTTGAACGTAATGGCAAGGATGTAACATGAAAACTAAATTACATACTCAGCCTGGTAATTATGTTTTGAAAGCTTCAAATTTCATCCAGTACCAAAATTGTATTGTAGACCATCGTAATTATCGTGTTGTACATTGTCCGAATCTAAACGAATGTCTCATAAACGAAAATTCGGATGAGAAGGTGAATTGCAACACAGTCCATTTTGGCTATGCCGTTCCTGTACTTGTTGTCGAGAGGGATTCGGAAACGGCACTGTTGATGCTAGAGAAAGAAGAGCTGAGTAAGCCTGCTAATAGAAGATACATTGATATGGCCACAACTGTAAACCAAAGGAAATTCACTGAACCTGAAGAGGACATTGCTGCAATCGCAAAGCAGATTTCAGACCACGCAGAAGCTATATACCAAAATTGGAAATCTAGAGGTTTGGCACCGACTGAAATTCTCTCGTGTAACAATGTTACGCCGGAGAAATTCGCGACCAGTCTTTCTCCTAAGAAAACGGTTGATATCTTATCATCGACAGCCAGCTTGAATTCCAGTAATCTCGAGCAGTTAGTTAACAATTTCGTTGTTGAAGATAAAGCCAGGCTTGCCAGGCAAAAGTGTTCTCCGACGAAAAATCTGTCTTCCATTCAGTACGCTAAACAAAAATTTGAACAAAACGATAAAGTGAGGGGAGGTTGTTTGGGAGATGATATTATTAAAGGCTATACGAAATCTCCGACGTTTCCGAACGGAAGATCGGAAGGGCTCTCTCAATATATTGACGATTCGATAGATGTAACATCATCAGAATTACAGCACTCTTCTACGACGGGCCTTCAGACTTGGCCACTTAAAAATCGAGCAGTCGGTGCTGAGAGAAGCGCAACAAGGAAATCCTCTTCGATCAAACATGCTCCTCCGAAAAGTGAGTTTATAGACGAAGTCGCGAAGGAGGAAGAACGGTTAATAAATGCCCTTAAGAGCGGCATTATAATCGGAGAGGATATACCGGAGCGAGATACTAAGCCTAGTCTCCTTCAAAAGAAAGCTTTCAAAGATAAGACCATGGGGATTGTAAAGAAAGTAATTAAAAGTTACCAAGAACAAGCCGAGCAGAGAACGGAATACGTGGACTATACTCAAAGCGGCAAAAAAATTGTGAGGTGTTCTAGAAAACTTGGCGAAGCAGTGCCGCATCCTGAATTTAAACAGTACCCTCGGCCTAACTCTGGAAATCCTGTCAGACCTTTCCTGACGAGAGGTTCGGTTGCAGAACGAGTCCTCATCTTCGAGAAGTGTCCTGCGGAACTCGGCCTTGACAAAAGAAAACCAGGATTAACGGTAAGCCCATTGTTTATTACTGCTTTGATAATTTAAGGTTGAACAATAATATGTAATAAATTAAGAAAAATGAGAATATTAGGAATAGTTAAGGTGGAGTAAGTACGTAAGTTAATCAGCATAATGTTTCTACTCACAAATTGTTCTTGAGTAGAACAGTATAGAGCCATCGTTTTCTGCCGATTAATTAGTTGATATATATATTTGATGAATAAAAAATAAATGAACAAAATAGATAAAGTAGTTCAATTATCTACATATTAGCAATTAACTATCTGCATATATTAGTAAGATTTCGTATTCTTATTTAACCTACGCAGATTGTTATTATTATTTACATTTAATTTTTCTTCATTTACCTGTAAATCATAATCGAATTTCATTATGTCATGATAGTATTTTATTTGCAAATATGTAGCTTTTTACAATCCTTTTAAAAATTTAAATTGACGATTTTATCCTATCTTGCCACTTTTTCAGTGATTTATTTTTTCTGATTTATTTTAAACATTTTTTATTAATATTTATTGTTAGCTTAGCGCTTTAAATGGAATTCTTCTGTATCTAATAAAGTAGCTCTTTCCATTGTCGCTTGGGTATTGGATAAGTGGTTACACCCACTTGCATGGAAGTCATCTCTCTTTTAAGTGTGTCTTATATTCGTATTATCTTATAAATTGGAATTTAAAGAATGCTAACGTAGATTGCTTAAACGATATTTCAAATAATTTTAATTTGGTTGATTTATTTTGTCGACAAAAATACGTTCTGAGCCAAGCCGTGTTTACACATCTTGAAATATCTGGTTTTAAAAAGAATTTTTGTTCTTTGTCAAAATAAAAGATATATGGCTATTAAACTTCTAACATAAGTCAGCGTCAGGGCTGTGGGTACGTTGATCTTCTGCTATTGAACCCTGTCAATTCACTCATACAAACATTTAAAACTAAAGATTAACATAATTGAAAACAGTTAACATTTATTCCAAAACGCGGAACAGGGTGTTTACAATTTGCTGCGGGGTACTCTTGTGACCTTTGTCAACGTGCGGAAGACATTCGCGGACTTCGGCTCAAAAGTAGGTATCCTTGTGTCAACCGTGTATGGCCTATTTTGAATCGCATTAGTTTGCCCCCGCACCAGTTCTGGGAGGGACAATATTGATCATTCTTTCGAAACCCAGTGGGTCCTTTACAACGACGCTGTCATCTTTTTCTTAAAACAAATTTATTATTGTACCTTTAGGGTTAGTTTGTCCGACTGCGATTGTCAGATCAGGAGATGGTTGAACCGTACCATAACCATACCATCGTCGTAATCGATAACATTCCCGTTCTAACCTTTCCAGCAAGATGTTCTATGATGGTCTGGATGGTTGACAGTTAATGAGTGTAGCATGAAGTCCATGCATGTTGGATATCCAGTGGATTATTACGGATGAACCTTCAGCTATCTAGGTGTAATATCGTAATAACCGTCTGTGTAGACTCTGGATGCGTTTAAAATCACCGAACAGCAGGCGAACATTCAAATTAGCGCCAAATATAAGAATATACGAATTCCGACAATCGGGTGGTGAATATAGTCACTTCTTGTCAAATATTACTCGTTGTTATCTGATCGTTTACGAAGTTTAGATTTCTTCTATGTTCACGAGCGCTTTAAGAGAAATGTGAAAGCGACGCAGAGTAAATGTGACAAACGCTGATTTCCTCCTTTTGTTGTTGAAATTTTCATGTGGTTGTTGTTTCATGCAATGGGGTATTTTTTGAACTTCACAACTTTTTTCTTCAGTTTTGCTTTTTATTTCTTACACGTATTTCGAGTCCAATGACGGTACTATCTGTATGTCGGAGTTCCAATATCGAACAAACCATAAAAAGGGGCACCGAAATACGAATAGGCACTAAAAAGTAAAACAAAGTAAGAGGTTGTGAAGTTCAGTAAATACCCTCTCAACACATTATTACTATTCTCAGTTTTTCTACTAGGTGTTGAATCTGCAACTGATTGAGTGACTCCGTCTGTGTTAAGGTCGCTATATCATCTGCGAGAAGGTTGAAATGGTATCTGAAGAAGTGAATATTGGAAGCTTGTGTAGAGAAAGTACAGAAACTGACCCATGTGCATAATGGAACTCCTGGCGAATTACTGATGATCTAAGTAATGTCTGTTGGTAATTTATTGAACGTTCGATCAGAAAATGCGACACGATAAGGAGAATCAGGGAGAACATTCCTCAATTTGTATAGAGGTTCAGGGTGCCAAACCTTGTGGATGTCTATTAAAGTGTCGTTGCACACGTCCTTCCTTTTAATACTGTTTAATTTGTTCTATTATTCCTGTAATTGCTGAGGACAAGAATGTTGTTTCGTAATCCGAATTGTGTATTAGGACATTATAGATAGGGGTGTTGAATCAATTTAGGACAATAGCAGGCATTCAAGAATAAGGTAGAAAAGTGGAAGCAAGTAAATGCTCGTGGAACAAATTTACTCTTTTTCCTATCTTTTCATAATCAAACTTTTTTTTCTCCCGATATTCATTTTTACAAAGCATTTTTGTGACCATGAGTATTTTAGAGTAAATGTCAGTACATATAGTGCGTTGATGATATGAAAATGTAATTGTTATTTTTTGCGTTAGGTATTTCAATTTCTTAGGTCGAATTGTAGTTTTAAAAAAATCTTTGGGATGCTTTCAGAATGCTTTAACGCCCATCATTATTTCTTATTGTTTATTTATTTAGACCCTCGTTAGTAATTTGCCAACTCTATATTTTTATTTTTTAAATTGTAATATTAATAATTAAAATGTAAACGTTCGTTGTTTAGAAGAAGTACTCGTTCATTTTTCTTTTCCTTTATCTTCGTAAATGTTTGTCAGGCATTTGTTCGGATTGAGAAGAATTACTGTGCTGTTGCTCTGGCTAAGATGAAATATTCGTCCTTGAAAAGCGTAATAGCAGAGAAGCGTAGTGTTCGCATGTGTAGGCTTTAGTTCTGTGATGTCATAGTGAGGTGTGGCTTCTCCAGTCTTCTTTCGTTTCACAAGAAGCCCTCGTGCAGAGCTGCTTAAGGTCCGATAGTTGGAATTTCCGGTTCCGCTCCTTCCAGTCGTCTAGTCAACCACGATCTCTCTTCGTACTCCTATTGCTGTCAGAGCACGGCACATCCTCAGAAGCGACCCTAGATCGATCAGTTTCCTTTTTATTCGATTTCTGATCCTTCACTTTCAATAGTGAAAGTCCCAGTCCGAGAGTTTCGAGTGGGGGGAATCTGTTACGACATTACACATGACCTCAGGTCACATATGTTGTTTTAATCCGTCCTCTTCAAGGAATAAGTTTTGTTTTGCCAGTCCTGAATTTATTTGTGTTAAAGGAAAGAAACATATGTATCTCAGAAGTCAGTGTAAGAACGTTTCGTTTCCTCTCCACCGTTTAAAAATAACCGAGGGTTGGATGAGCTGAGTGTTACTAAAATACTCTCTCTTGAGGGTTGCCCTTATTCTTCCGACGGCTGAAATCCTCTTAAATCGTCTATGATCATCCTCCAACCGCCTGCTAGCAAAGTGACGCTGACTTTTTTAATTATTAAGTAATTGGAGATGGTTTAAATTTCGGTAAAGGTCAAATTACGGGTCGGGAAGTGAGGGCATGTGTTGGATAGGGGGATGTAGATGACATGGTGGTAAGGCCATGGTGTTTAGCTTGTCAATATATACTTGCAAACCATTTCAAAGATGAAGAACAACCCAAATTCCCTTATAAACCATGGAAACAGCCGAGACCTAGGTCATATAACAAGGTAATTTTCTTTTTAATATGTCAAGAAATATCTACTAACAGTAAGTGAAGAGTTTTCACGTGGTGCAGAAACCAATACTTGCGCTATTAGGTATTAGCCCGGCGCAAAGTAATGCAATACCGGTTCAGTCACAATTATTTGAACGATCTAGCTATTAGTTTTTTTTTATCTCGTAGTAATTTTAAATTAAATTCACCGTTCAGAATTTTTTTTCAAACTTTAACGACAAATGTAAATAAACTGTTCAATTGTGCTTACTATTTTTATTGTTTTCGCCGATGAAATAATTGTTTATTCATCTAATTATAAAAACTCGTTAGTCATCGTGGGTTAAATTCGTCGTAAGTCTTCATTTCTTATTTGTTCAACCTAATATGATTAAAACATTCCCACCAAATAATTCTCTCTCGCTCGCTCTCCCTCTCTCCCTCCCTCTCCATCACTCCCTCCTCTCTCCTCTATCTCTCTATCTCATTTCAGTTCTATATCAGTCTCCTTCCATTACTCACTCATTCATTCCTTACTCCATCCCTTCTCTATCTCCTATCTCTTTCTTCAAGTACAAAAAAAAAGTTTTATAAACTGCCATTTCTTCAAGTACAAAAAAAAGTTTTATTTATGTACTACCTTTTTCTTCAAGCACAAAAAAAAGTTTTACATATATTTACTACATTATACAATATTTAAATTTAATAATGTAAAAAATTTATTTTTACCATTTTAGAATTTCTCAAGGGATTCTTTATCATGCCAAAAACCAGGTCCTGTACCTCATACTACCTTACAACGACATGCCAAAGCAAATAAAAGCCTTCTTTTACCCAGGTATAATGTTAAGAATGGCATACTATTATACATTTTAATTACTTTTATAATATCCAATTTCATTTTGATAATCTTATTGTAGATTCTATTTCCCCCATGGCAAAGTTAGCAATCAGGCTGAAAAACACCTCGTACAAGAAGCTCTTAAGGCTTTATTTCAGACCTTGCCCAATCAGCAGGCAACTATTGAGAAGTTTGGAGCAGTGACAAAGGTTATTCGAACTAAGCATATAACTTGCATGGATACTTTAGTCGCTTTAATGCTTTTGGATTAACACATTTTATTGGATTTCAATATTACCTTTTAAAGTTTATATGCAACTTTGTTTTTCTATTTTAGGCATGTGGTTGCCCGCTTTATTGGAAAGCACCGTTGTTTATTGCCTGTGGTGGAGAAAAACTAGGCTATGTAGAATTAAATATGGTTTTGGATTTTTGGCGGGAGTAAGTGTTTATTTATAATTAGTTTTAATTATTATTATTTGGAGATCATGTGATGCGGTCTTGTATGATGGAGGTTTAGAAAAACTTTTTTTTTTATGCATTTAATTATTATCTATAATTTCTTTTATACATAAATAAATTTTAAATAATACGTTTTATTTTTTCAATTTCTTATTATTTTTTTATGAATATGAATCATTGACTGTTAAAAATTAATCATCCAACTTTCACCTTTATTTTTTATTTATTTTTTTTCATGATTTTCTATGTATTCTATGAATTCATGTAATATGTATTTTATGAATTTATTAAATAATCGTAATAAATATTTTTAGACTCACTAGCAATTATCACGATGCAGCATCACGATTTTTGAAAATACTTACACGTGGGCAAGCTAGAAATTATTTGTTACCTGAAGACTTTATGAGTTTAGTTCAAGATGTTGTTGACACACACCCAGGTTTGACTTTCTTAAAAGAAGCTGTTGAGTTTCATTCGAGATACGTTCACACTGTAAGATTCATTTCTTTGTTTTTGAATGGCTGTATAATTCAGCAGTGTAATGAATTGTTAATTTTTAGGTAATCTCAAGAATTTATTATTGTGTCAACAGTTCTTGGACTGGTAGAATAACTTTACTAGAACTGAGAAGAAGTAATCTTCTATCTGTGATTTCATTGTTAGAAAAAGAAGAAGACATTAATCAAATTACTCAGTACTTTAGTTATGAGCATTTTTATGTAATATATTGTAAATTTTGGGAACTGGATAGAGATCATGATTTGTTTATTGACAAATATGATCTTGCAAGACATTGTGATCATGGTATTATTATTTTTATTTTTTTACTACATATTGATTTAGTTTGAAAAGCTTTTTTATTGTTACTGGAAAAATGTATTACAGCACTTTCCTCGAGGTTGATCGATAGAATATTTTCCGGGGCAGTAACAAGAGGAAAGCAAACAAAAAATGAAGAAACTCACACGCAGAAAAAAATGTCATACACTGAATTTGTATGGTTTTTGTTAGCAGAGGAAGATAAATCACATCCAAGAGCTATCGAATATTGGTTTAGGTAAGTAAGGAACACTTTACTTTTCTATATTAGTTTATTTTTATTTGTTTGTTAAATAAAGAAATGGTGATTTTCTCTAGATGTATGGACTTAGATGGTGATGGGTACCTTTCTATGTATGAGTTAGAATATTTTTATGATGAACAATTGCAAAGGATGGAAGCAATTGGTATTGAATGTTTGCCTTTTGAAGATTGTTTATGCCAGGTCAGTGACATTATGAATAAAAGTAATAACAGTATAATTACAAATTATATGTATTCTAATGGTAAAAATGATGTTTTATAAATTTTACATGCAAGGTATCAAACTGATATTAAAAGTAACACAAATTATTTTTCAATAATACATCTTTAACATAATATATTAACATTTTTCAGAGTACTGCACTGTTTGTTATTATCTAAAGAATCATAATTATATACTACTACAAAAAAAATGTTTTATTATTATCGTTCTCNTCCCTCTCTCTCTCTTTCTCTTTCTCTTTCTCTTTCTCTCTTATTACCATTACCTACTAATCATAAAGTAATAATTATATTAATAATTAATATAATAATTATATTATTATAAGTAGGTACCTTCCTATACCTACCTACAATGGGTAAATTTATTTTCGCATAAGGAACTGGGTGTTTTTAGGAAATGTTTCTCTAAAACTGAGAACATCCATTGAATCAAAACTATTCAGTCGATAATGAATAATGTCTTCCACAGGTTTCATTTTTCATAAGGTTTTTTTCCCCCCTACATTTACTTCAAAAGACTGATATTATCTGTTGATCTCATATATCTTGTGATTCATTGTTTTGTCATTTTGAATCAATTTTGCTAATCTTTAATCATTTCTAATGGAGCTTATATCACAATTACCCTTATTTCTAAGGATTGGGATGAGATATTGTATGAAAACACACGAAAACAAACAGCCCTGCGCCCACAAGTTAAAAAAAAAAAGTCGCACCGCATGAGGGTTAAAAAAGAAAAAATGGATTTCAATAAATTTTTGAGTAATGAAATTGGGCAGAAGCGAATACAGGGTGGATGCTTAATCTTTTCGGGATTGATTTTTGCTTCCTTATATATTTTATATATTTTAACAGGGGACCATGTTAGCCAAGTGGTCAGCATGATGGACTCTCGGCTCAACCCCGTGATCGTCGGTTCGATTCCCACCATCTTCCTTGGCCCTTTTTTCATACTACCCCCAAACTACACATATATGATGAAACAAATATGTACATCCTATATAGCTAATATGCGAGCTCATAAGGCCATTAAAAAAAATACTGATTATTGATTTATTTAGTTCAACTCTACACATGTACATACGATTTAAAACAATATCTAAGGCCACTTGGCAGGCAAGAGGCGAAAGATCAGGAAGACAATAGAGGAGAGAGGTAAACGAAAATAGGACATTCCCAATGAGATGCAGATATTGTGGTTGAATAGTTTTCCAGTAATGTGTCACAATTTCGCAAAAGTTTGAGAGAGAGGCCAGATTGGGAACAGGAGTAGAAAAAGAGTGATGTTGGAGTTAGGAAAGGAAGGATGTAGGATGTCACCATTCACAACCGAGGTGTCTGCTGCACATTGGATATAACCTCATCTTAATAGATACTGTGAGGCCAGCTAAACCTAAAAGGCAGAAAACCATTACGATGAGAAACTCATCACCTGACCAGGGAAGCAAACAAACCTTAACGAGATAACTTGTTACTGGGCCCAGGGAGCAAGCTAGTATAAACTAGAAATCTCTATGCTAGTCCCAAAAAGGTTAATAGGGGGAAAACTAAAACTTTCTAAAGAGAGCTCTTTTTTATATTTGATTTTATAATTCATGATTATTATATATATGCTTTAATAACTGTTGGCTTTAGTCTTTGACTTCTGCTTTAAACCTTCACTCAGCTCTCTTCCCTGGGCTGACTCAACCGTCTTAAAAATTTTTTTTTGGTTTGTTTGTCTCTTCAGATATATTCTCATTTCGAGTCCCTGGTCTGTACTCTGTTTTCAATTTCAGCCTGACAGCCTTTGATCAGGTTAGAGTTTGATGGTATGATCAGGCTAGATTTCTTGCTTCCACACATACTTGATCACTGGCTACACTAACTACTGGCTAAATAAATAATTCATTAATTTATTATCATTTAATCAACAATTAAACTTTTAAAAATTGTTATAACTTTGTCTTATTAAAACATAATACTAAACTATTTTCTATTGAATTGATTGTACGTTAAATTTCATCTTCGGTGAAAGTTTCAAAAGCAGTCATCTCACACTACTAAAGTTTTGGCACAGAAGTTCTCCCAAATTAATTATCTGAAATAAACATTAGTTTTCCTATGTTTTCAATCAAACTACATCCAACAAATAAAAATTGATTTTTTTTCTTCTTCAGATGCTCGATATGGTGAGGCCAGCTATTCCTGGGAAAATATCATTAAGTGATTTAAAGAAATGTAAAATGACACCAATATTTTTTGATACATTCTTTAACCTAGAAAAATATTTAGATCATGAACAGAGGGATCCATTTGCATCACAACGTGACCATGACAATGAGGTTAGTTTTATTTTAATCTTAATAACAACTTTTAAACAGAAACAGTAAGATTAAACGTCTTTTTTCTTATATAAATGCAAAGCCAACTGATGTTCAACAGGTGAAAATTTATTCATTTCAATTTCACACCAATAAGAATATATCAGTATATCATTTTGATTCTAATTTTTTTTTTTAATATATATATTTTTTTTTTTTTTTAAGATTTCTGATTGGGATCGTTATGCAGCAGAGGAATATGAATTACTTGTTGTTGAAGAAGGAGGAAATGATGTCCAGGACCATTTGTAAGTTATATTTTTGTTTGGTTTTGGCCACCCATATTAAAAATAGTATATAGTAATAGTTGTTTTTTATATTGAAAATGTATTAAATGAATTTTTTTTGAGAGAGAGAGAGAGAGAGAGAGAGAGAGAGAGAGAGAGAGAGAGAGAGAGAGGAAGAAAAATAATCATCGACTAACAGTCACTAATCACCACACAAAAACAATGAATGTGAGAGTGAGTGTGAATCTTAGCAATAGTAAAATCTAAGGTTGACACTGTTTTAATGATTGCCTGATACAAATGGGAGTGTTTAACTAGTTTGAATATAAGGGTTTACAATAAAATTGTGTCTATTTATTTCTGTTGAATTTTAATATAAATTTTATAGTTTTAATATGATATATTTCCTTTTGAACCTAAATATTCTTTCTCTAATCAAGGCATTAAAACTTACATTATATTAATTCTGCAAGATGTTTTTAATGCATAGTACTATATGATGTTAATAGGTAGTTCACATGTATAGATTTTTTCTGGGACTTCTTTTTTGCATTAATAATAATAGTTAATTGAATCATTATAAGTAATGTGAAACACGTGTGTTCAAAATGTTTTAATTATTCCAGAGAGGGCGAAGATGAAATATAGCCCTTGTAACTCGTTTAACTTTTTTAAGTAAGTACAAAGTGTATACGGTTTGTCTTTTTTTATTGCATGGTATTTGCAAGATTAATGAACACAATTTTCCCCCCATTTATTATTATTTGTGTGTCATGTTTGCTAATTCCATCATCTTTCTGTGGGCACTCTTGCGTTTAGAATCTTTTTGAATTTGTTGTACACTTTTGCATTATTTAACTTTTGCTATCTCTCAATGCTTATTAGTTTATTAAATTGTCACGTATATTATATGTTATATGATAATTTAGGTCAATATCTTGCACTTCTAGTCTTATAATATAATTATTATTATATTATTTTAACTGCAATTCAAGAACAATAACATGCTTGATTGAAAGTAGTTTTACTGGACAACAATTGATAAGTAGCATTATTGTTACAGAAAGCACTAGCCTATAGGATGTTTTTAACTTCATACAAACATAACGACAGACCAGTCAGTCATTTAGCATTCTGGATTACGACATTGGTCTTGACTCATATTTTAACACATGCTATTATAATGTAATTATAAATTAATAATTACATTTAAAATAATCTAAATATGTCTATTATAAATTACAATTAATTAAGGTTTTTAGTTGAGATAAAAAAGTCAATGGCACGAGCGGGATTCGGACCCACGATCTTCAGCTAAATACGCCGCTGCTCTACCACTTGAGCTATCATGACCTCGATCCATTAAAAACCTTAATTAATTGTAATATATTAATTGGTCAAGCGGACCACGAAATTAGTGAATTTAATGAATTAGAAGGAAGTATACTTCACTAAAGCTCTCCGTGGCCATTTCATTTGTTGCCGAGAATCCAATCCTATTACACGACATTTGAAAAATGGCAAAAAGGAGGGAAAACTCAAAAGGTGGGGTTGAGATAGGATGTTGATGTCCGAGAGGATCGAGGTCACGATTGCTTAAGTGGTAGAGCAGCGGCATATCTATCCGAAGATCGTGGGTCCGAATCCCGCTCGTGCCATTGACTTTTTTATCTCAGCTAAAAACCTTAATTAATTGTAATATATTAATTGGTCAAGCAGACCACAAAATTAGTGAATCTATTATAAATGTTGCTATATACATATCACTCATTCCAGAAAGGTGAAGAGCATGTGTTTGTGTAACTGGATACACAAAATATGCAAGTCATTATAAATATTCTATTCATATACTTTCTGCTAATTAGTTCATTCACTACACATAAACACTAGTCAAAAGTTGAACATAAACTACTAAACATTATCACTATCTAAAAAGCAGAGCCGAGCCCAATATCTGAGAATCTTTGCAATACCTGTTATGTGGCATGCCTACTACTATTATTTACATTATGTTTATTTGGGTTTGTTAGTACATTTTTTAATACTTACTTGTTATGAGGGAGAACAATCTTATTTGAATTTTTTTTTCATTCATTATAATTTGTACATTTTTATTTATTGTTCATTTGGAATTCAAAGTGAATATAATATAATAAATTGTAAGTTATAAATAATTAGTTGAAGTGGTGAGGAGCAGTCAGGAATGAAGTATTTTAGATGAACTCCTTTTTAATTTTTTTGGCCAACATTTCGACTTTTATTGAGGTCATCTTCAGGGCCTGGGTACTACAATATGTTGATTGGATTTTTTTTTTTTTTTTAATTATTTTATTTAACTCTTGTGTACATACACATTATGTTTTCCTAATAAATATTGATATACAGCACACTCAAAAAATGTGATTAACATGGCATTTGAACCGAGTATTTCATACTCAATGTGATGCTATTTTTGTGGTGTCATGTTTGTTGTTTACATCTATATTGTATAATTTTTTTTCCAATATGTTTTCATTCACCCAGCCCCTGAAGATGAAACCTAATAAAGATTAATATGTCGAAAAAAATGAAAAAGGTGTTTATCTAAAATACTTCATTTCTGACTGCTCTTCACTAGTTCAACAAATTATTAAACGGTTGTTAAATAACACAACACATAAAAAGGAAAAAAAATAGCATGAAACTTTTAACAAGTAATTTGAATTAACTTCGTACTAAGTGCATGGGAAGTAACCACTTCAAATTATGCCAAATCTTAATTACCATAAATAGTTCCTTATATAATTCAATTTGAGGTCATATTTTTCTTGTTTACAAAAAATACATGTTTGTGAGGGGACTGTTCAAAAAAGGAATGCAAGTTTTTAATTAAAATATAATTTAAGTATACTACTCGTAGTCATTAGTGCTGACAATGTTAAATGACTCACCCTATACCCCTTATAGTATGGAGTGGTATATAATAATTATATATATAAAACACTTGGTGATGGAATGTTATCAATTATGTAAATATTGTTAATCCAGTGATTGTTAGTGTTTTTTTTTCTCCCTGCATGGGCATCTAGTAATGAAGTAGTGGAATATCGTTTAAATTAGCCGAAATTGTGTATGTACATTACGTGTAATAAGAGTTCAAGTAGTTGAATGTTGATGTTAATAATTAATAACAGACCTTTTAAGTTCAGTTTGTCATTTAAACTTTTTAAATGATGTAAATGTGTGAATTAGAATATTTTCACTTGATTGTTTGATTCTGTGAAAAAATGCACATTATAATACAAATACCATCTTGAATGTACTTTCTATATCTTCTTACTTGGTTTGATTTTTTTAATACTTTTAAAATTTTATTACTGAACTAGCAAATATTTTAACAATTTATCTGTGACCAGTATTAGTTAGAAATTTCAATTTTCAATCCTTTGTAGTGTTGATGTAATATTTTATTTTCTAGACTTTTGTATTTTGATTTTGAAAAAAACATCACATTGGTCCCTGAGTTTACATGTGTCTGTTCGGTAATTGATGCTACGTTTGTTTGTTTTATTCTGTGTGTAATATTTTTGGATTGTTGAGTCAAAATTGTGTTTGTGTTCAAAATGGTGGGTAGCTAGTGCTGTAGGATTTTGCTTGGGTTTTTGGCAATCATAGATATGTTGCTTAACTCTCTTATCCAGATATTGGGATGTAAGATTATTCCAAATAATCATAGACTAACGGTCACTAATCACTACACATTGCATTTAATTATTTGATGATGTCTAGTTCTTCGATGGATTCTGTTAACTGTGTGATATTCACTTACAAAAAATTAGATTTTCTTCATTTCTGGCTATTTCTGAACATAGGTGTCCCCCCCCCCCCAACAAGCATCCACGAAAGATCATTATTTTCAAACTAATTTTTCTTAAATTAATGTGATTGGAGTTGAAGGATTTTTTCTCACTAATTTATGTTTTCATATAATAAAATTATTTGGGTTAAGTGTAATCTTTTTACCTTAACATAACTTCACATTTGTTAAATTAAAATTTTCCTATTTTATGTAATATGAAGCCAGATAAGATTAAAAAAATAGTTCAGTTTTTAACTTTAAATATGTATTAAAAAATTATCTAGGAGTAATTTTTTCAAAAATTTTAGATTGTACGATTGCAATTCTGATGATGATACATTGTCACCAAATTTGGACAAACTGTTTGGGGGAAACACTTACATGAACAATAACAGCAAAGTAAAGTGGCACCATCCTAATTTGACAGTCACCTGTGATGATTACAACATTTCTGAGGATTATGTTGATGAAGATAGACCCATATAGACATTGGAAACAAGTGCATTATTTAACCGATATGCTCCTCTTAATACTCATATTTACTACTTGAGTGTATTTGTATCATAACCTCTCTTTACGTAGAGCATCACTTTTATTTTTTAGGTTATTTTAGTTTTGCCATAATAATTTTCTCTCAAAAGTTCCTAACAATATTATACACTAAGTGGGTCAGTTGAGTTAATATTTAATGAATATATGAAACAATATTACAAAACTGACCTTAATTAACCGATATAATGACCTTAACACTTAAGGTAAATGTATTTCAGTCAGAGTATGAAGTTCAATAATTTCATATCGGTAATTTTACTGAACTACTCTGTAACTCTTCTAATTGATTGTTTTTATTTTATTATTTTTATTTATTTTTATTATTTCTTTTTTACATTTGTACCTGTTACAATCCTGTAAAGATGTTTGTATTAACTTTGTTGTTTGATTAACAGCATTATGGAAATTATATTTTCCAGTTGATCTTCCATTTTGTTTGTATCATCAGTTGATATTTCCATTTTAAAATAAAATTAAAGAGGGAAAACGAAAAATCAAACTGAAAAGGAAGTTTGATTTCTGTTTAGAGTAATTGCCTTATTATATATTAATAATTGAGAAATATGTGTTCACCTTTATTGTAAGAAAAGTAACATAGTCTAGTCTATTAATCTGTACAGTAACATTTAACACACTCATGAATATACAAATATAGTAAATGATATGTATGTAATACTCATATCTGTAACCTAAACATGAACGTACACACAATTAATAATTTATACTAGTTTAATAAATTAAAAAGAATCTCAGTTGTATAAATAATGTTTCATCTCATTTGTTATTTGTATTTTTTCATTGTTTTAGTATAAATCAATAATATTAAATTCATTAAAAAATGGTTGGTTGTAATTTGTTGATACAAGGCTACAGTGAAAAGGTTATTTCAATATTAAACTCTTAAAACTTTTATCAGATTTAATTTGTTAAATTCAATTCAAAAGTTCATTTATTCATTAGGATTTTTTACAATGGAGTTCCATAATTTGATGTAACTAATTTACCATTCACAAAATTTCTGTAGAAATTCCTCAATGGCCAAGATATTATATAGTTCTAATTTTTCATCTTGTTATTGTATTATAATTTTATGTATGTTAGTGAAGATGTAAAGTGATTTTATTCTCGTTTTTTATGATGGTCAGTCGTATTTGAATATGGCTTTTGTTTGTGTAATTCATTGAGTTGTTGTGGAGCTTAATTGTTAATTAATTATAATTACTTCTGTGTTATTGAAAACTATTATAAAATGACAATATAGATATAGCAATATGGAAAAATGCAATCTCTAAATAAATGTCGGCTTTCACAAATTTGTGTGGAGTGTGTAGAAGAAAGATAAGGTGCTATACCATGTAACATTACCCCAAAGAGTAATAGGTACAACTCGAACAATGATATAATATAGACTAATACTAGTTATTTAAAATAATATCCATTTTGTATCAATGTACTATTTTAAATGAGCAGTAGTTTCATAAGCATTTTCTATTCATGTAAAAAGAAAATTGTATCCTAGACTGAAACTCAGTTTTTAAAGATTAAATTTAGCATTTATAACGTTCTGTTACCGTCTTATAAGAAATCAATCTAATTAAATCAATTGATTCTGAAATTGAGTTATATATTTTAATTTTTCTAATAGAATGGATTTACAGCAAACAAATATCAACTTGTGGAAAGCTTAATGAGACATCAGGACTATGTTTTTATCGAAATAGTTATGAATCAATGGATACAATGATGAGGTTGGTATTTTTCCTCTCTTTTTTTACATCTACAATTAATTCTGTATCTCCTCTTTTTCCCCTATTTTATTTAGATTTATCACCAAATTATAATTGTTTGTTTTAGTTTTTCAAGTCAGCTAGCTGCTAGAGCCATTGCTGGCTGCTTACATTGTGTCTATCTTGCATTTTTTATTACCTTTATCTTTCTGACATTTAACCCTTCCACATATGATTAAAATGTCCTAAGTCAATCAAAAAAAGCATTCATACTATTAAAGCGATAATCTAAATTTGGTGGGACTTGAGCATTCTGGCTAATCTAGTGAGACACTACCCTAAAATTATTTCCAACATAAACCTTTAGTTTGGATGGTGGCAAAGTGCTTTCTCCATTCATGCTTATAAATATAATCTATTCAAAAATGAATAGGGATATTGCCAATTTCCTAGTTCTTTCCCCAGGATTTTTGTTTTATTTTTATTATAAATTGCATTAAAATTTATTAGAAATTATTTTTTACTGAAGGGTAATTTAATTAAGGGATTTTGAAAAATAACAAAAAAGTTTTTAATTTCATAATTTAGTTTATTGGACACAATCATTTTTTAAACAATTAATACTGTGTATTAATTATTATTTGAAAGGTCGTGAGTTGCACTCTGGTGTGATGTAGGTTTTAGAAAAACATTTTCTTTATTGTGCCAGCATTTCGATCTTTATTGAGATTATCTTTAAGGCCTTAAATTTTACAAATACATGTATGATGTGAAAACTGTGTATTAACATCTGTGAACCTGTCAGGCACTCTGTTAACAAGGTTGTCACTAATTTCAAAGGAATTTCACTCCATAAATGTTGCAACACTGCAATCAGTTGTGGCAAGCCAACTGGCTGTGGATGATCATAAAGCCTTCTATTCGATGCAGCCCACATGTGCTCTATGGGATTGAGGTCGGGAGACAAAGGGGGAAGGAGCAGATGGGTTTTCTAAACATTGATAAACAACTCTGCATATATAAGGTCTGGCATTTTCATCCAGAAATCGAAAATCCCTGCCAATGAAATCTCTGGTTTGGCAAATAAGTAAAAACTTTTCAACTAAAAATAGTTTTCTGTAAAAAATATCTTTTGATATGTTTTTTGGGGACAAGGGGAGGAAGCCAAATAAATAGAAAAAAGGCATGCTAAAAAAAAAAAATTGTTTTATCTTATTTATTCTAATTCAAGTTGTAGATTGTACTCCGGATGAAAGCATTAAATAGGCTGAAAGCTTGATTTCAATTTTTGTTTTTCTTTGTCGGCTTCCTCTCCAATACTCATAAAACAAAAAAATATCTTTCTAATGTGAAGTAAGTTTCAACAAATTGAAGTAACATGAAAAACTTTAGCCATATTTTTTCTATTTATTTACAATTTTTAATTTGACTGGATTTGTTTTCCACCAGAATTGTTTGAGAGTTCCTGTCAGCATTGTAGCAATAATAGAGGAACGTATGAAACTATTTTATTATTTAACACAACATCATAGATTACTATGTTTTAAAAGCCTTTCAGGTGTGTCTCTCAAACGCATTCGTTTTGTAATCATGGTTAAGTATTTTTCAACGCATTCAACGCAACTCATCCCAATTAAGTATTTTTCAACGCTTAAAAGTGGAAATGTATTCAAAAAATAATGTGGTTTTCACGTATGAAAGATTTTGCCGAAGCTAGTATATTTCAGAAAATTTGAATTTATAATGCTTTTAGGAGAAAAGAAGAGGATAAAAGTTAAAATTTAATTACTTGTATGAAAATCATTATTTTCCCCCAAGACAACCAACCTTCCAGATAATTATGCATATATTAAAATTTATAATTTTGAAAATGAAAAGAAAAAGTATTGATTTAATTGTTTATATCTGCAACAAATAATTGTAATACATATATGTACAGACAGAAAAGATAGTGCAGTTAATATAATATTGTAGTACTCGTAATAAGTATCTTTATTTTTGAGTTGTAGGGTTTGTTCACATTGTGGTCATTATGAAAACAACCATGGAAATCCCGACCAATTATAATGGAATAAAAATCTAATACCAAGAGAAAAGATCTTTATTGTGAAAACCATATAATTTTTTTTTAACACAAAGAACATGGAATACTTATCAAACTAATACTCTTATGGAAATGGACTGTTACCAGTGGACACATTTTATACTCAGTCATTATTATATTGTTAACTGAAATAAATATTTTTTAATTAAATCAGTATTATTGAACTAAATATATGTCCATAATGCATGTTCTTTTAAGTACATGTAACTGTTGGGCAAGATTGTAACTTGTTAATTTGTGTGACTATCACAAGTAAGTTCAAAGTATGTACATAACAATACCTTTTTAAATTAATTTATGAATTTCAATGGAAAAATTAGATTTTTATTTATTTTATCTTATACTTCACAGTTTATTTTTAAGAAAAGTATTTAGAATAACTTACTCAACCATAAACACACAATAAATCAGTTCTTCATTCTTACAACGTTAATGATAGATATTCTAATTAATTTTACAAGGAACTTTATGCATCACAAGTCTTTTTAAAAAAATACATCATCATATATGACAAGTTCCCGAGATGGGTCCTTATTTACTGCGACATCGGCTAGTGTCTGCGAATCTGAAAGCATGTCTATTTATCAAACAAAATTTAAACATTCCAACTTGAAATAAAGTAAACCTTGTGCTGATTTAGGAGGTCGTCTATTATTAAATGATACTGCAAGCTGGTACCCATTGAACACACTTCCATTTAACTAAAAAAGAATCAAAAATAAAAACAACAGTATATTTAACAAAAAATTAACTGAAGACATACGGCAGAGATGCATGATTCAGCAGATTCTGGGTTCTTGAAAGTTACAACGCCTTGTCTGTGGTAAAAAAAAAGGTAGTTTGTGTTCTTTGTTAAAAAACAATGATTTCATGAATTAAATACCTTTTTTCGGTATCAATTTTGATATTTGCAATTTCCCCATGCTCTGAGAAAGTTCTTTTAACTAGGGTCTCATTAACACCTAAACCTTTGACAAAAACTGAACTTCTGTTCACTTTTGGACTTTGTTTTTTCTGTTCGGGTGACCAATCAGGATCATCATCAGTCTTATTCATAGAAGTGTAAAGTTTCTGTAAATAGGAAATCATATTAAACAAATGAAAATAAAATGTACAAAACAATGCAAAATAAAGAAAAAATTCACCTTGATGCTTGGACGAGATTCTTCAATGTTACCTGCAAAGGGATGATAACCACTTAACCTCAATGCCTCACTTCTAGTTTAAAAAATAAAATATGTAACAATTTATAACAAGGAATCATTACAGATAGAAAAAATTACACAAGGATTAATTTTCAATTTAATTTCCCCTACTGTACACCATTTAAAAATGAAATTAAAAGTTTAAAAAAATTACTTTCTACCACTGGAACCACCAGGACGCTTGAAACCAGACAACTCATCTCTTTTTGGAGTTTTCTTAATAGCAGATATTGCTCCACTTTTGAGTAGCTTTTTAGCTATTTCTCGTGCATCCCTTCCGTCATTCTGCGGTACTTTGACTGGAGTAATTCTTTCCGGTTCTTGACGCGGTACTTTCATTACGTGAAGTGCTTTTTTCTGTGAGAAAGTAAATAATTTGAGACAGTTGAAATAAATAATAACTTTTCCCTGAGTATCTAGTTTTTTATAACACAAATTTTGAATCCCAACTCTTGTCTCTATATTTATATTATATTAAATAGTTTTTTCTTTTTTTAAATGGAATATTAATCAAGATATAGCTATATATAAAGCAACACAATACAGTGCTCTCTCCCTGAACCAAACATTCCAGTAATCAACTGAAAAAAATTCAAGAAGTCTGAATTTCAAAGAGAAATAAACATTTTTTTGGGTGGAAGGGGTGAGGGAGTGTAAGAGCAAGAAAGAGTGTGTGCGTGATTGAGTGAGAGAGAAAGAGTTTGAGATTGATTGATTAACGTTTTATTTACGTAATAGCTCAATGTTTTGTCGCTCGGACCACTCTTACACTTAAAGTGAAATTACATCTTCATTTTTTATATTAACTCTATTCAATTTTTAAACTTAAAAATTTAAAATGTGCTCCAACACGTCACAGAAATCTCATCAATTCTTTTACACTGTATACATATAAAAATATCTTCTAATAAAACAATAATAGAATGCTACTAATCTTACTTGTTAAATTTTTAACATGATTAGGTAATACTGTACATACATCAACTTGAAAAAAAAATTATATACTCTTCTACACTATATAAATGTTCTCAACCGAAACAATGCAGAATTCCCCTTTTTTTTTCTTTCCCTTTCCTTCCTTATTTTTTTAAATGTAACACAACTTCTTAATGTTTCATTAAAATTTTCAATTTTGTTACAATTTTGGATTGCTGATGGAATCCTGCATTTTTTACTACAATAGAATTGCCAAAAGCTTTGGTTCTGTTTTTTTTATTTGTAAATATCTTTTTCTATTTCTTGTCATGACACTATACCCTTTACATCTAAATTATGTGAGTGGGAGAAAGCGAGTTTCTATGAGTAGGTGAGTGAGAGAGGGAGAGAGAGGGTGTGAGTGAGTTTGAGAGTGAGAGAGGGAAAGAAAGAAAGAGAGTGAGAGGGAAAGTCATACAAAAGACCATCTTTTGCTATATGAATTTTTGATAATTTATTTTGTTCAGTGAATCCCTCATTTACATGCACTACAAAACTAAATAAATAAATTAAATAAAATGTAGTCTGGTCGTTTCCAATTGCAGAACAGAACATGACAAGAGGCTTAACTATATTTATCAGATTAAAACAATGATGGTAAGTAGGCCATTACCAGAAACAACCATACTACAGGTTTATTACCTTGGAGTCCTCAAAAGGAAATCTCACAATTATATTAAAAGGTTTATATTGAGAATTTAAAAAAATGCCACTGAAAGATCATCAGGATTATCTACGACCTATCATTTTAGTTTTGTAGTTAAGTTGTATATCACAAATTTGTTAATTATCTAGACGATCGATTCATCTTACCTTTGTTATAAAAAATGTGTATTTTATACAATTTGAAATTACTATTAAGTAAATGTAACACTTCTGGATAGATAACTCTTCTTCATAGAGATCTTATGATGATAAATAAAAGTTTTTTCCTTGTTTATTACATCTAAAAACCATTTACATTGCTTAATAGCGCAGGAGAACGTCTTCATCCTTCCTGCAGAAAGGGGCCCAATTCGCCCTTAGCACTCCTCACCTCCACCCAACAATCGCCCAGCCAGCAGAACCACTGACGCTTCATTTATCGTTTACTGTTATTTCTATATGTCCGAAATTTTGTAGGAAATCAAAAATAAGTATAAGTTTAAAAGGCCAACTCTGGTTGTTTGATATTCAGAAAAGACTATATGCTTCATGGTTTCAGGTTCGTCACAAGTAGTTAAATTTGGAGGCGGTCTAAGGCCAACTTTATGCAAACGGAACTGCAGATGCCATTTATTTATTTACTGTCTCCCAAACAATAAAAGTATTAAGGTTAGAACTGTACATAAATTGTAGAAATATTTATAATAAAAAGATATAAAATAAATTACAATTTAGAATGAATTGAAACAATTTGCAATATGTATTGTAGTGCAGTGAAATAAGTAGTATTAAATATGTAGTTAATAGTTAGTGGAATAATTAAAAGGGAAACGTCGAGCCGGGGAAACAATGGAAGTGATGACTGTGCGTCTGGTCTACTCGGGGCCAGGATAGAGAGAGAGAGTTCAGTGGAAAACTGACCGAGTGCGAAGCAAGACCAGTGGAAAAAGTGAAACCGATTGAAGAATGTGGAGGACCTTGCTCTCTGTGCTGGCCCTAGGTAAGAGCTCATTTTATTCAATCTGGAAGTAATCTGGCTCGACGGTTCCCCTAAATCTAGCGTAAGGAATTTGGGAATGTTTCCGTATAGTAACTGTTTAGCTGTAACGGAAATTAGCGTAGAACTTTAATATTAAAACTTAAGCGTATGTTATAGACTTTTGAATTATTTCCTAATATCCTAACTGGTAAGGGGCACAACATGTATTAACACTATATAATTATTAATTGTAATCAAATTCAATATTAATAATATTAATGATACAATATTTATTTTTCAAACAATAAAATTTTCTTAAACTGGCAAATATATCTATATTTAAAAACGAGTTTAATAAATTTGTTGTTCTTGGTATGAAACTGAATTTGGCATAATTAGTTCTATGGCAATCGATGGAGAATGTTATTTGACTTCTAGAATGATAAAATGGAAAATGAAAGTTAATTCTGTTAAGCAGAACTAGGCAATCAGTTAAGGAACATAATAATTTATACAATAATATACAATCAAAGAAAGTCCTTCTGTACAGAACAGTCGTCAATTGGATTTAAACAAAAAAAATTGTTACCTTGCGTTTCAATTTGTCATATTTCGCCTGCAGCATAATCTCTTCTTCGGTATAATTCGGAGGGATGTGGAGGAAGACCATTGTACTTTGTAGTTTGTACTTTGTAGTTTGTACTGTCTGTTTTTGATGTAAGGTTTCGGAAACCTACGAAATCCACTGACCGCCTAGAGAACAGGACAAAGTATCGATACTCGAATAAGTCTGTAATTTTGGTATTCGTCATTTCATTGATATTTAATGACGTCAGAATGAAACAAATAAAGATACTGTTGCGTGTACAAATCTGGAAGAACGTACGAGATTAAAAATTATGATATTAAAAAAGAGAATTAAACAGCCACAAGTGACTATAGTCATTATACATAGTTATTCATATATCGTGAGATGCGGTCGGGTGTGATGTAGGTTTCAGAAAAACATTTTCTTTATCGTGCCACCGTTCGATCTTTTATTGAGATATTTATATATATATTTTATACCTTTATTATATTTAATGCCTTCATCAGAACTCAGGACTACGATCTATAATTTAAATTGGAACAAATAGTAACAAAAAAAATGTTTTCATCTCTGAGGTCCATATGGATGCTAATAAAATTCTTTTGTTGCTATTTGTTCTAATTTAAGTATAGTAATTTGGAAGCATTGGTGGTTGCAATGGTAAAGGTCCTTGGTTCGAATCCAGCGGCTCTGCATTCAAACACAACATACTTACAAAAACACTGGGACCCTGAAGGTTTGTATGACCTCTGCTGTTGAGAACCCTCGTTAATGTTAGAAGTTAAAATAAATTAAAATTAAACATTAAATAGGCCAAAATCTTGACTATAATTTTTGAGGGGTTTTTTCTGGCTTCTTCTCGATACTCTTACTTCTCGATACAACATAAGTGACATCAGAAGGCCAATAAAATAACGCATCAAAAGTTTATTTATTGCTATTTATTTAAATGGGTAGATACCCAAAATTCAACATACAAGACATTTTGCAATAAAAAAGCAAATTTGCCTATATGAAAAAACTAAAATTTAAACTATACATTTGTAATAAAGTATGTTAAAGAAGAAAAATCAGTTGAGAAACTACATTACACCCATTGTAAAAGATTAAACAAAAATATTAATTAAAACCCATGTATAGAATATAAAAATAAACATAGTTATTAATTTATTATAATTATATAATAAGCAATAGAATAAATAATTATACTAAGCAGTGATAGAATTAAAACTGCCCTTTATAATAAAAAATACAATAGTAAAAATCTCGTATTGAATAGCTATGGGATATGGTTTGTAAGGATTTACCAAATATATTTATTTGTGGAAACTTCTGAATAAAGTTTTTAACTATTTTCTGGAGTCGGTTGATGCCAGAATGAAGAAAATGGAAGAAAGTTTTTGATTCACTTATACATCTTATTGCAAAAAAATGGTTTTATAAGACCTAATTTCATGTATTGTTTGTTTCATCAGATCAGAAGTACATATAATCTTTATTGTGTTGCATTTAAGAAACTCTCAGTAGGAGTGTGTTGTTCAATATTAAATATTATTTGTGCGTGTTTCTGCATCTTTTGTCCATCTTACAATGATTTAATTAAGTTTACATTAAATAAATTAAATTAACCTAAAGAACAAAAATTAAACTGAACTGAACAACATACTATCTAATAGAACACTACTCAGAAAAAGGTAGAAGTGACATGAATATAAAAATAAAGCTGTTCTTTATTTACAATACAAAAATTATTCTATTTACTGCGATTAAAATAATAAAGGTTTGTTGCTAATCTGTAATTAATTTTATTAGAAAAATTATCTTAATTTTTGAGAATCTTTCTGCTAAGAGTGATGTATTTCAGGAATGAACAACTAACGCCTTTATGTTTCATACATTTTAGGGTAGATATTTTTCTTATCTTCTCAGTATGATGAAGGATGAAGAGGAGAAACTATTTTGAAGGTAGATGGGCAATTTACTACAAATCTACTATCTGCATTAAAATCTTGTGTTCTTTAATAAAAATAGAATTGTCCTTTAGTACTTTCTCCCCTAAAGTTCTTAGTGACGCTCAAAGAATTGAATTTTTTAAATTGAAATAAGTAATTTGATCAATTAGGCCACTAAACATAAATGGAGCATGTTAATTTTTTCATTTTAATTAAATTAATTAAATGTTTAATTATTTTCATGTTATTTTTATTGAAAACAAAACACCAAACCAAACAAAACTTAATTATAACTTATTAATTCACATGGTCAGTGTAAAAAAAAACCAATCCAATATTATATTAATACAATATTATCAATGCTAATTGTATGCATTTAAGTTTTTTTCAAATTAAGATGTCATAATTAACGAAAAAATGCTGAAATCTGTGAGTGTATACCTTTTTAAAAAGTTAAAAAAAATCATGGTAGACTAGTAATGACTGGTACAGATTAAAATTATTAAAAGATTCGAAATATGGTCTAATTTGATTAAATATTTTTGTTGAATCTGTATTTATTCACACTTTATCGAGGCTAGTAGTTTGTTCAGAAAAATATAAGTTTTGCATTGGAATAATTCATTCATAATATATTTCACTTTCATAACAATTATTATTAGTTAACAATTAATCTAAAGGAAAAGTAGAAACAATGAATTGTATAGTAACAGTTTATACTGGTTACTTGTTGTTATACATTATTGAACATTTCGCCCAACATTGATCTGTTGGTAGTCTTTAGTTGGAGGTAAAATACAAATATATTCTAAAAAAAAAATAATTAATACAAGTCCTTATATTTTTAAAATCGAGAGAAAATTAGCTTGTTTTTATATTAAAGAAGATTCTTTTAGTAGAAAATGTACAACTTTCATCAATATTGTTGCATCCGGGTGCATCGTTTACCAAGTTGTTCATTCACTTGTTTTTTGAAAAAAGGCTCAATTGCTGACAGCACCGAAAGAGTATAGGGCATAGGAGAATTATTATAAAAATTACAATAATTACAAATCTCTTTATCCTTTCCAAACAAAAGAAAATTATTTAGTTTATTAGCTGAAGTAAAAACTTTTAATCTAAAATGTATACCTCACAAATATTGTTGCATTAGGTCGCTTGTTTACTAAGTTGCCGTTCATGCTTTCACCTTATCAATTGATTAGATGATACAAATTGAAAAGTTAAAAGATAACAGGCAACAAGAATTCACCTGCTGAAACAAAGTCCAATATAATTTGTTGAAAAATATCGGAAAAATGAGTCTCGGTGATACCATGTATTATTTTTTATATTCCAATCCTCTTTCAGCTGCCGCTGTCGCTGGTGCCACCAAAACGGTAAATTTGGATTATTTATTTTTTATACTGGAATCATTTTTCTAATCTACGGTTTTAACTTTGAAAATCGACGATGAAGCATTGCTAACAGTGAAAGATTTTGATTCATTACATTAATCTTATATAATACATAATGTATAGAGCGTAACAAAACTGTACACATATTTATATATATATATTTTTAAACTACATAAATTATTATTATTTTTTTTTTTTAATTTGGTCAACAAGCTTTTGCTAACATGTTATTACTGTGTGATTAATAATAGGTTTAATTGTTAAATTTATCACAAAATCAAAGGGTGTATTTTATTGTATTAATATTTGTAGCTTTGTTGTTTAGAAGATAAGGAAGATAGATTCATGAATTTAATCAATTTTCAATTATAATTATTCGTTAAAAGATGATCAGAAATGAGGCAAATCTAAAAACATTTTCTTTGCCGATCTTTCAAGAAAGGAGCGGTTTTTTATTATTTATCTATTTTATTTTATTTTTTAATAGATGCGTACAACCACTACTTTAAAAGGCAATGTTTGTATTTGGATTTGTGTAGGCTCAAATCCGCACATGTGTGCACATACATACTGACGTGTCTAGTTGAGGCTATTCACTTCTTGTTGTCCACCGGTAATTCCAACTTTTGCGATTTACAGTAAATTGCTGGCAGAATCGAATGCAGAACCCAAGGTGTTGGCAGTCTGGGGGCAGACTTCTTTCTTATCCGTATTCCGTGCACCCACCAATTGGGCTCGGGGGGGGGATGGTGTCAACAGCAAGGTCAATTCAGCACCCAATGCCTTCAGTTCCAAACCCATTCGTACTCCCATTCATTCTAAAATATATTCACTCCTATTTACTACCTTCATTCAGTTAGCGTGATGGAGTACTTAATATTCCTCCACCACCCTTTACATATATTATACAACTAGCCTGAGTGGGTGTGGAGTTCAATCCTTTTTAAAAAGATAGTTTTACTACAACTTACTGAGTAGGAACCATCTTTTTAAAAAGGATTGATGGGGTACATGTTATTTCGCCATCGAGTATCAACCCACTCACATCACACATTCACATTAATAAATACATTCACTCTCAACACAAACTAGGTCTGTACAACTATTATTACTATATACAATAGAACAACCCCATTTCCTCCAAACATCAGAACAGGAGACCTAAATACTCACTGCCGTGCACAAACAGAATTCTGCACGCTCTCTATATGGAACCAAGGAATCGCACCCTTCAATTAGGTGGGACACATCAAACAACCTTTCTCTGCATGCCAGACACAAATGCAGGCTTTGGCCCAAAAGTTAAGTGTCCGTGTAAAAGACAATGTTTAATTATTTTCATGTTATTTTTATTTGAAACAAAAACTTACATTATAATTTATCAATTCACATGGTCGGTGAAAAAAAAAAAGATTTGGACTGTTGATTACTAATGCCAATTATCAATGCTAATTGTTAGCATTTAAGTTAATTTTTTTCAAATTAAGATGGCATAAATTATTAATGCAAAAATGCTGAAGCAGTGAACGTATACCTTTTTACAAACAGTAAAAAAAAGACAGTGGAGCAGTTTTGTCCAGTATAGATTCACATTATTAAATGATCAGAAATGTCTAATTCGATACTCAACACTTCATCAGGGCAAGAAGCTTATTCAGAAAAATATGTTTTGCATTGGAAAAATTCAGTCATAGTAGCGGTGTCGGTGGCTGCAACGGTTTAAATGATAACCCGGTGCTCCTAAGGTAAAGTTCCCAGGTTCGAATCAAGCGGACTTGCATTTGAACCCAACATACTTACAAATGGGCTTTTTTTTTTTTCAAAAACTCCGGAGCCCTGAGGGTTCACATAACCTCATAGTTGAAATACCCTCGTTAAAAAAAGTCCTAATATCCTGGCCCTCTGTTCTCACTTTTTTGTCATTCCCGTTTTGTCAAAGGGGTGATTTCATAATTTTAGTTAGTCGAGTCCCTTTATGGATTATGAAATTCCAATTGAGGTATGTTGAGTTATAAACCTGCAGATCGTCTGGTCCGACTATTCAGGTCTGCCTATCCACCACTACCAGTGGTTTGAATTCTAATTCTCACTCAGAAGAGAAAAATAATGCCATAAACTGCCGATTTTTTAATACAATTGTAGAAAAGAAAATGCATTATTGAGCCTAGCTTTGATCACTTTAATCAATTTTCAATTTATCCAGAGGAAATACTGGTAATTTACAACCTGGTCCTCCTCTACTCACTGTTTTGGCCGAAAACACCGCTGGCACTCTGAGGGTTGATATGATCTCTGCTGTTGTGAACCCTCATTTAAAAAAAAATGTTTTAGTTAACAAATAATCTAAAGGAAAAGTAGAAGGAATGAGATGCATATTAATAGTTTATACTGATTACTGTTCATATAAGCTCAAATTTCATGTACATACATACACGCATATATTGAGTTGAGCCTATCGTGTCTCAGAGTCCACTGGCAATTCCAGGTTTTGTGTAATTTACAATATATTACTGGCAGATTATGAAAATCACCGGGTGTTGCAGTCTGAGGTAGATCTCAGTCTTATCCATTGTGTGTTGGAAGTGAATATATTTATTAGCGTGAGGGGGCCGATGGCAAAATATTGAGTTTTCATCGACTCTCAATTAGGATACTTATGTAATAGATGTAGCGTGATGGAAGATTGGGTGAGTGAATGATGTGTAAGAATATATTTATGTGGGAATGGGAGTGTGAGCTGGTTTGGATTTAGGAACCGATTGTGTTGAGAGCTGAAATGACCCCTGGAGCCCAATCTCGGGTGGGTGGGTGATTCTCGAATATGGCAATTAGATTATCTTATACATATTATATATTTCTTTTGAATAAGCATTACTTATTATTTAAAATGTATATTTTTTTAAGGCTGAAGTGTTGAGTAAATCATTAAGTTCAATATTTATGAAAGAAACACCACATCCAATGGTTGTACATGTGGCACCAGACCCGCTATGGAAAATAGCAGGTTTTAACAGAGTATACATGAAGCTGGCTGGTGTGTCGGGAGCTTTAGCTGTTTGCCTCACTGCTTATGTTGCCCATTGTGAGAACTTTTTATATCAAAAATTACACTTTTTTAAATATATTTATAATACCATGTTTCTTTCACAGCAAATCATCTGGATGAAGAGAAAGAGTGTAAAAAATTATACAAAGTTGCAACCAAGTACCATTTAATACATTCACTTGCATTACTTCCTGTACCTCTCGCAAGATTCCCATCTTTGGTAAGCTCATACTTATTAACCAATTTTTTTTTTACTATCTCCATTAAAACATTTTTCAGACTGGTACGTTGTTCTCACTTGGCATTTTGCTGTTTTGTGGATCCTGCTATTACAAAGCTCGTACTAAAAATAGTAGGTTTAGCCGTGTAACTCCTATTGGAGGTTGTTGTTTTATTCTTGGTTGGCTCTCTTTTGCCCTATAAATGTTAACGTATTAAATAAGCAAGGATGTGAAATGCAATTAGATTTATGTGTATGCAACATGCATTGAATGTAATTTACTACTTTAATACTCTTTTTTAAAATACCTACCTTATAATACCTAGTAGGTCAATGCAGTATCATTCAATATTTACTATTGTGTAAATGTAAGTTTTTCAAACTTTAGTTAAAGTAGTTGTTCATGCCACAATTTTTTTGTCAAAATGTTGTTTCACCTTATCTATTTATGTAAAAAAAAGAAACCTAACTGAACCTCTCATACCTATTTCATTGTATTCGAGGATTAGATAGACAAACGCAATAATTATATTTATTATTGGAGTTTTAATTTTTTAAACCTTGTTAAACACTTTTAGAACAGTATACAAGTTGACTTCTTGTAGAAATAATTCATACAACTTTCTTGGATTAAAGTAAAAAATAAAATTTTAAATGTTAAAATATTTACACTGTGTAACATTATGAATATGAAAAAATAATAATAAATTGGATTCAAGTAAAAAATAAAATTTTAAATGTTAAAATATTTACACTGTGTAACATTATGAATATGAAAAAATAATTATAAAAAAATAAAAGACACTTTTTTTAGGTTAAACATAACATTTAATGTGGGATGCCCTTACAACTAATAATTTAATAACAGTCTTTATTAATTAAAGACCATTTATAATAATAATTAAAACTGAAAGAAGAAGAAGAATTAGAAGAGAGAGAGAGAGAGAGAGAGAGAGAGAGAGAGAGAGAGAGAAAAAGAGTGTTTTAAATTATTAATTTTTTAATTAGGGGTTCAATGTGAACCAATAGTGGAGTTGAGCTCATAAATAATGTTAAAAAAAAATACAATATTGTTACCTGCACTTTAACAATTTTACTCAATTTACAATTTAGAACATAACTTTGTTCTCTCCAGTTCACTATCATAACATGCCTGATCGAGGCTTTTAAATTATGGGGGGGAACAGAAAGTAAAAGAACATTTTCAGAATAAAATGTAAATAAATTTTAGAAAATTTGGTATTGTTTGTCGTGGCTTTGCAAGAATAAAACCTCGCATTTTGAATACAATTTACAAGACTTAAAAATAACAAAATTTATTTCAAATTCTACAATTACACAGAATTTGGTGAACCTTTGATTATTTTTGGCTGAGCCCATTCTACAAAATCGTCTATTAAAACTGGCCAAGCACCTTCTTCATCGTAATTCGTCATGTCATCGTTGATTACCGATGCAAAATCTAGCAGAAGATTCCAGGTGTCTTTGGGGATCGATCTTTTATGATGCTCCTGAAAAGTTCAATGGTGTTGAAGGTACAGGAAAAAAAAGTATAGAAAAATACAAGTTTGTACTTACCATCAAAAATTTACACCATAAATCAAGAAATCTAAACCTTCCTTTTAAGACAATATTCCAGTATGTAATGGCCATATCTAGCTCTAGTCCTTTTTGGCCAGGGTTTTTAGCATAATTGAAAGTAAAATGATAAAAGTCTTTAAACTTTAAAAGATCTTTTATCTCATTGTCCAAAGTTGGTAATCTCGCCCTCAGTTTATCAATACTGTCCACTCTATAACATACACACATATGTTTACTATAAATGTTTTTACAAATGTATATAATATTTATTACCCTAATTCGACCATTCCTGATATAAATTCATCTCTGGTGAATTCACACTGTGCAGCAGCTTTAAATTTCCATGCTATAATTAAAACCAATTTGGAATCGGGGCTGAGTGAAAGGTCATCAAGAAATCTCATAATTCCATCAGCTGTCATTTTATCAACTTCTGATGGATCTAAAAATGAATTTATTATATATATATTTGTTATATAAATTTATATACAATAAATATTTATTTTTTGCTAAAAACTGACATATTGTAGAGTAAGAAGTTCTTTTCAGAGGATCTTCGGAAGAGGTCAAAACAGAGAAAACTTCCTTACGGTTTTCGCCGATTCTTAAAAAAAAATTCTTAAAATAATTAGATTGTATATATATAGTTAAAAAACGTTTTCTGTGATCACTTGTATCTGTTTTTTAGACTTATATGAGGTAACCTTTCTTGACCACGTTTTTAATTTTATTGTTATTGTAATTTTACCTATAATTTTTAGTTATTTATGTTTCTCAATTTAAATTAATATTTAGATGCTGAGCCACAAAAATCATTGTACTTCTGTGCCCAAAACACCATGTTATTTAAATTCCTATTAAGGTTTTAAAGTAAGATATTCAATTATTATTGTAATTATTGTTTTTTCATGTTATAATCGTTTGTGTATATGATAATAAAACAGGCCCTGAAGATGACAGTATAAAACTGTCGAAAGCTCGGCGAAAACCGTAAGGAAGTTTTCTCTGTTTTGACCTCTTCCGAAGATCCTCTGAAAAGAACTTCTTGTATCCAGCAGGTCGATAATCTATTTTCATCGTTATATTGTAGAGTGTCATCAATAGAAAAATGCATGTCATGACTTCAGCTAGGATTTGTATGCAATTGCATTTTTTTGCTAACACTTATGACCATGATGAATACATATTTATCAGAATCACCTCTGCGGTGTGGTGGTTTAACTTTTAAATTTTTTCCAATTTAAAGAATACTGCAAATTAGAAAATTTGAAGAGTACTTAGAATAAAAATAAACTAGGCAACTAAGAACATGAGATGAAAAAGACAACCTAAAATTTGATTAATTTGGTAACTTGTATATAGGTCATCTTGCACTTCATTTAGGATCTGGCAGGGACTATGGAAAGGGTCTTGGAGTTATTTCTGTCTTCCTTTAGCATCATAATGTGCTGAGATCCACTACCGGGCCTCCTATTGGCGCTTCCAGTCTCTCCGAATCGAGCTAAAGCCTGGAAGACCACACTGAGAAATGCCAACTGCTCATTCTCTCCCATACTCTCATGAATCATTATGCCAATAATATTGCGAATTTCTGGTTCAAGATGATGTCTTTCCATGGTTAAAGAGAGTACAACTGGATTAAAATTGAGAAAATACGAGAAAAGAAGTTTGTTTACAAAATGAGTAACCTTCATGTTTACTATTCTTAAATAAATCCGATGTCAAAAATGAGCATTAACATTTATTTGTATTTGGTTGTATTTTATATTTTGTTACATCCAAATAACAAGAATATATTAGTTAATTCAATTAAAATTAATGGAATAAGAATAAATTACAAATATCCCTATTCATTTTGGAGAGGTTTATATTTTCCTAGACTAATTTAGTAAGTTTGTGAGGTACTACATTCTGTTTTGTACACAGACATACACGCATTCACCCATTTTCACCAGTAAATAGTCACATCCCAGTGAAAGCCATTTATGAAGGGGTTTCTATATGCAACTTTTTCATACACTTATTTTTTCTTATTTATTTATTTTTTATGATAATAAATTAATAGTTGGATGTTAGTGTTTAAATAAATTTCTTATCAAACAGTTAAACTTTTATATTTTTGAGTTTTAAGAAAAAAGTGGGATATGCCAATACATTTTAGACCATCTGGAAGATGCAATTTGTTGAAATTTTTCAATTCTTAGCTCTCACAGGTGGACATCGACTGTGCTTCAACATCAGCCATGAACACTACGTGTCAAAGCATGTTCAACACCAACGAAATAGTTCTCAAAATAGCATTTTAATTTGTAAAAATATAATGAGTGATGTTAAACATCAAAACAGGGGCAAGGGGTGGTTTTTCTACCAATAAGCACTATTTCTAGGGTGTAAAATGGATATATTGTGTTTTATAACTATCAACGATTCACCTCATCACCTCGAATGATATATTAAAATATTTTACCTTTGTACTTTGAAAAGAGTTGTTCTAGTTTTCTCCTATCCACACTTATTTTGGGTTCTTTAAAGTACAAATCTGGGTTCTGGAAAAAGTTGTCAGAAGCCAGCTCGAGCTTCCAGTCATTCTGTGATAGGCAGTAAATAGCCGTGGATTCGCCCGTCTGAGTGAAGGCTATAAATTTCTTGACCTTGTCTTTCTGCGAGGACTTCAATTTGTGCTGGAAAATTGAAAATTGATTGGAAAAATAACTCGTAACCTATAAGGGCGAAAAAGGCTCCGATGATAAGTGGTCGGAAGCGCGTGACGGCAAATATAAATAAATAACCCTTACCATTTTTTCACTTAAATTGCTCGTATTCCATCAAATTGACAATTTATCATTTTCTTGTGGGGCAAACATTATTATTTATAATATATGTATCCATGTTTATGAGAGATCTTAAAAGTTATCAGCTGAGAAGGTTTCCTTTTCTACCATCCGACTGAACAATTCGCTTCCGGAGGGTAAACACGAAAGTCGCCTTCCCTCTCGTGAGTCGGAAGAGCGGCAGTCCACCGTTCTCATCCTTATCATCATCCTCCTAACGGCAACATTAATCTCCAAACAAAACTTCGTCTTCCAGTTACACCCTGGGAGGATGCCGATCTTGAAAATACCACTAGTCGTTTTTCAAGGTTGTCATCCACGGTTTTATTCGATTGGAAAAGGAGTTCGAGTCAGATTTGCACCAAGTCCAACTGGTAAACATCGTATTTTTCTTGATTAAAAGGCAAAAATAAATACCCTACACTTTTCTAACAACTAACTTCGATTATTTATTAATTGTTTTTACAACCAATCTTTATTATTATTATTATTAATTACACGTTGTAATTTATCTATATTTCAACCCCTCACATGGATTTTTTCACAAATCATTACATGAAAAGCAATTTTAGCTAAGTATTTCGACAAACATTCTTGATATCCCACTCGTGACACTTTTTCATCTCGACCGAGACCTTAGATAAAAAAAAATTAATATGATTATTCGGAAATCTTGGGATGCGGTCTACTTGGAGGGAAGGATGGTCAATATGTGCTTAGGTGGTAGCACTCTCAGAATTAATATCAAAGGAGGCTGTCTGCTGGGGTTGCTTGTCACCTCTTTTATGGTTAATTACAGTAAACAGTTTAATAGAACTTCTGAATAATTCAGGTTTCTACAGTCAATTATTTTCAGATGATGGTACCATAATGCTCACGGGTAGGGATCCCCTGACTCTTTCACTACTGATGGAAGATGCCATGGCATTGCTGTTTGAGTGGTGTTGTGATAAAGGTTTATCAATTAATCCAACTAAACTGGAATTGATAATGTTTAGTAGGAGAAGAACATTAGGTAATTTTAAAAACCCTAAATTTCAGGGCAAAGAATTAAAATTAGTGGATTCAATCAAATTCCTTGGTGTGACAAGGGAACTTGATTGGAAAGGTCATATTAATAATATTTACAGGAAAGGCACAATATCTATGGTACAATGTAGGAGAATTGTCGGTAAAACATGGGGTCTCAAACCATGGGTAGCCAAATTGGCTATATACTGCAATTATTCTACCTAGATTATTGTTCGCAGCTTTAGTATGGTGGAAAGGTCTATAAAATAAAGGGAATATTAACAAATTAAGGTCATTTCAAAGACTAGGCTGTTTGATGATGATAGGAGCATTTTCAACTAACCCACCCTAGCACTTGAAATCATAACCAATACCACACGTCTACACATAGGGCCTAAGGTCAGAGCACTAATCAGCTGCTACAGATTAATTAGTGTAGGCAGCTGGAACCATAAGTGCAATAAAATCCTCACTCAAAAATCCTACAACTATTGAGTAAGGTTAACGGCCAATTATTAAGCGTTAGTGATAAAAAGGTTAAAATCCTTTCGGGGAAAAAGTACTTTCAGGTAGTCACTCCCTTGTGAATATAACTATAGTATGGATGATGACCATCGTAATATAGATTGCTATACAGATGGTTCACTTATCAAAGGTAAAGGAAGTGGTGCTGGAATCCATATACCTAAATCAAACCTATCAGCATCTCCTACCCTCTTGGCAATAACTCCGTTTTTCAGGCGGAAATCTGGGCCATTAATGTGTGTTGTAGGACACTTATGGAAAATAAAATCAAGGGAAAAGATATTAGAATTTTTTCTGACAGTCAAGCTAATCTTAGGTCATTACAAAAAGATTTGTCAACATCTAGACTGGTGGAGGAAACTGTAGATCTTACCAATAGAATCTCTTCCAGGTTTGAGAACAAGGTAACCCTTATTTGGATACCTGCACATAAAGGACACCAGGGCAATGAAAAGGCGGATGGCCTAGCCAAAGAAGGTTCTAATACTGTGTTTGTTGGATTGTGTGGGGAGATGTTAGAGAACACTTTGCTTCATGTAGCATGTGGAATCATAGCCTTTTCAAATACAGATAGTTATGGTATGGTATACAATGTCCAAACTGATTATCACACAGAATGGATCTTTGACTGCAGTAAGATACATTGTAGCCGAGTGGTTCAGGTATCAGACTCAGCTGATAGATCCTGAATTTGTGGGTTCAATTCCCACCATCACCTCTGGACTTTTTTCTGCCCAAGAGGACCGGTGACTACAATGAAAGTTGACACTTATCAATGAAAGGTCTGGAGTGGGATCGGATCTCAGCAACTCTGAATTTGGTCCCAACCCCTTTCAAAAATTATATTCTTACATTATATTCTTTGATGGAAGAACACCTATTCACTGGAGCCTTAATTCACACATTTTGCGAACTCGTAAAATGGAACCAGCAAGGAGTACAATAAGCTGCAGTGCTCAATGGGAAGTTCTCCAGTTCCTGGTATCCACCACAGTAAGAAAAAAGATACATTGTGGAAGCTATTGTCCCATTCGCTCCATTTAATGTGGACAGTTTTGTGTTAATGCTTAATAATGCTCGACCATATGTAGCTCGAGTTATCACCCATTACTTGGAGGATATAGGAATTTCCACAATGATTGGCCAGCATGTTCTCCTGACATAAATCCTATAGAAAACTTATGGGACATGATAAAGAGGTGGGTTCATCAGAGTTGAACAGCTTCAAACTACTCTTGTTAAGAACGGGATTCTGTTTCACAAAACGAAATCCGATCGCTTATTAAGAGACATAACGCCCTCCATGAGGTCAGAGGATGTAATTATTAAGAGAAAAGTTAGGTAATAAATAGTTAATTAAATTTTCATCTTTGAGCAAGCTAATTATTTAAAATTGTTAAATTTTCATTGAATTTACCATCAAAAAATACTATGGACATATTTTACAGCCTGATTAAACTGTAAATATTATCCTTGTGCAAAATTTTGCAAGGGTCTTTTTCTCTGATGGGCATTCAGATATAAAATGGTTCACTCAACCTTTTGCAATATTACTTTTGATTTTTAAGAAGAATTCAATTTGTACTGTTGAAATAGATTTAACCTTTAATTGAACATCGGACTAATTTTGGGGGGACCGCGGTAGCCGAGTGGTTAGCATGAGAGTCTCTCACGCCGCGGTCGTGGGTTCGATTCCCACCGTCGCCTCTGGCCCTTTTTTCCCGATAGCCCCCAATTTGAACACACAATTCGTACTATGGCTAATATGCAAGATCATAAGGCCAATAATTAAAAAAAACAACTAATTTTGATTAAAATGTTTAGGTTATTTGCATTTGGGAGGTTTGAGAACAGCGTTGTACAATTTTCTCTTTGCTCGTGTCAACAATGGTAAGTTTGTTTTGCGAATCGAGGACACGGACCAAACAAGGTGTTTCCCCGATGCCGTAGAGCAGATACAAAACGACTTGGAATGGATTAACATGACCCCCGATGAAGGGCCTAAATGTGGAGGACCTTATGGCCCTTATATACAGTCTGAAAGGAAAGAAATCTACAGGTACGGCTGAAATTGTTTGCACCACTTTTTCGTGTAAACCTCTCTATTTTAAAGGGAAGAAGCTGAGAGGCTCATATCCTCTGGGGCCGCTTATTACTGTTTTTGCACAGAAAAGAGGCTTGATCTTTTAAGAAAGGATGCGTTACGCAATCGACAAGTTCCAAAGTATGACAACCATTGTAGGCATTTGTCAAAGGAAGAAATTAAATCAAAATTATTGTCAAATGCAGATAGATGTGTACGATTTAAGGTAATCCTGAGTACAGGTTTAAATTTGTAATAAATAAATTTTTTTAAAAGTAATTAAACATTTTAGTTGGTCCAAGCTGAACCATTTAATGATATTGTCTATGGGAACACTTTCCATGACGTTATGGAGATAGAAGGTGATCCTATAATATTAAAATCAGATCACTGGCCCACATACCATTTGGCAAATGTTGTAGACGACAAATATATGGAAATCAGTCATGTAATACGTGGTGTGGAGTGGATGCAGAGTACGAGTAAACACCTGATGATTTACAGGCAATTAGTAGCTTTTAAATTTATTATTAGGAGAATATTTCGTTTTTTTAGTTTGAGTAAAGAGAATTATTCGTTGTCATTATATTTTTTTATGTTTTCTTTAGAGCTCTTGGATATGCAGCTCCTCAGTACGCACATTTGCCATTAATTTTAAATAAAAACGGCACCAAATTGTCAAAAAGACAGGGAGACTTGTCCTTGAAAGCCCTTCGAGAAAATGGAGTTTTACCAAATGCACTTATCAACTTTTTAATACAAGCTGGAAGTGGATTCAAAAGTACAAACAAAATTGTTTCCCTTGAAGAACTGATAGCTGATGTAAGGCTAATATTGAACAGCATTTTTTAATTTTTATTATTATTATTAATTTTTAAGGGCGTTTTAACGGCTACGGTCATTTCACGCCCTAACATCCAAACCTTCTATCATTATTTGTTTTTTAATTGTCATCAGTTTAATCTCAACAATGTTTCCACACACTCTACAAAATTACCGTTGGAAAGAATAGATGAATTCAATCGACTGGAGTTAATAGAAAAAATAAATAATACAGATGAACTACAGTCATTAGTGTCTGATGTAAAAAGTCTGGTGCAGAATGGTCTTTCTAAAAGGTTAACGTTTATAAAATTATTTGTTATTCTTTAAAACAGATATTGATTTATAAAGAAAAAAGTTTCTGTAGGTATAGAGATGAAAATTTACAACTAGATGATGACCACATCGCATCAATATTAAAATTGTGCCTACCAAGAATAACTTCCTTGAGAGATTTAATCAACGAGGACTTAAGGTTCCTTTGGGTTAAGCCAGATCTTAAGAAATTACAAATTATACACAATGGTAAATGAAATTAGTGTTTTTAAACATCTTTCTTTTTTATATTGCTATAGGTTTTTTGTTTAGGACACTACGCCAATGTATTGGAAAATTTGGAAAAAGAACTGAGCACTATTGAATTTAACCAAGAAATAGTGAAGACGTTTTTGAAACAATTCTCAGAAAATTACAAAATACCATTTAAAGAATTAATGATTCTTATAAGAAAAACTATTAGTGATGTGAAGGTAATTCATTTGATTTTTGCTTTTTAATTAAGGCATGTTGAATTATTGTAAATTAAAATTTAAACTTTAATTTTGGCAGTGATAATATGAAAAAGCTACTTCTAGGAAATTCAAATGATTTTGAGATGAGATTTTTTTTAGTAACAATTGAGTTCTTTTGACAATAAATATTCATCCATCTGCTAGTGACTTTATTGGCTGCCTAGACTGGGAGGTAGTTTCTAGTTCATCAATTTCATTTTTGTTTGCTGTCAATAGTAATAAAGTGAGAAACTCAAAACATACCTAAAAAAATGATAAAGTTCCTCAATATTTTGTTGATGACAATACCTTCACATAAACAAGTGGTTTTGTAACTCCTCAGCATCCTAAATTGTTTTTCTTTCATATTTGGCATAATTTTTTCACTAGTACTATAAATCCTTTATAAATTTTGCAACATTAGTTCATAAAAAAGTTATAGAAATGAATATTAATGCTTGTCTTTCCGGTGGTGATTTTTGTGCTCAAGTTTGCACAAGAGTATTTTGAATTGGTTTTAGTTGTTCAAATTCAAATGACTTCTTGTTACAGCAAGGCCCTAGTGTTGCTGAAATGCTTGTGTTACTCGGCAAAAAAACTTCGTTACATAGGATAAAGCAAGCCCATGAGGAAATTCATCGCTTAAAAAGAATCGAAAGTTATTAACTTTTTGTACATTATTATAAATATATATTATTTAATCTGTTAATTATGTTTGATTATTTTTATTTTACTGTTTTTGTCTTCCCTCCTCACCATTTTGGTTTGCCACCTCCATTTTGACATCTTTAGAGGAAACATCTTTGTTGTCAACTCCCTTAAATGTTTGTTGTAAATGTAGTATCTGGTTTATATCCATCTGTGACATTCTGTATTATTATTATATCAAGTCTAGGGTATTGATTACGATGACAGAAATCTAGGAAGTGGGAATGTATGTCCCCCATGCACTACAGCCTTCTGGGTTGTTGTACCTTTCCTAGTTCCTTATTTCAGTTCAATTGGTTCAATTGACTCGATCCTTCTCGTAAAGTCATTGACAGCCATTGCTACAATTCCTTTCCCTGGCTTTTCTTTGTATCCCAGATTGTGTCTTATTGCTTCACATTCAAAGATGACATGGGTGACGGTTTCTTCAACCATATGAAAGTGTACTTCTCTAATGAATTTGATTACTTGTGTTTTGGATTTGTATGCAAAATGCCTGATCCAGTTATTTCATATCTTTTGGAGCCGTATGTATACCATCTGATTTCCTTCGGGTTTCTTCTTCTCCTTTGTAGTATGTTGATCCTTTATAGGATTCTGGAAAGAATGTTTCTAGGTCATGTAGTTTGGTGAATCAACGAAATGTATAACAAATAAAATAATAATAGTGAAATGTATCAAAAAGGAGTAAATCTGGAAGTTAAAGTTTTTAAGCTCTTTTCAGTCAAATTGGTACTTTTTTCTACCAATTTAATACTTTTTCCAACCAAATTAGTACTTTTCCCGAGCAATTTAATACTTTTCTCAAGCAATTTAATATTTTTCCCAACAAAATTAGTACCTTTCTCAAGCAAGTTAATTACTTTCTCCAAGCAAATTAATACTTATTTAAAAGGTATTCGAAAAAATGTGGAGCATAGCATGTTGCCATATGAAACACTTTATTAGCTGGTTTCGTTTGAACTTGTCTCACTTATTTCATTGAGTTCGCCAGCCTACCTTATCGTTCCCAGACAGCATTCTAGGAAATTCTCCTTCCCCTGTTCTTTGTTTCTTTACCCCTAAAATATTCTGTTGTTTGTCTGTCTTATTGTATGCATTGCGTGAGTTTTATATATAGAATGAGTGACTGGAGTGACATAAGTGGCCTAAACATATTTCTGTTCTAGCAGATTATAACCCTTAGGGTTGCTTACCTTTATTAGTGATAATAAATAAATGTTAGTATTGAAATAAATATTGTAATCAGTTTTCATAAGGCTTTTACATTTTGATGTAAGAGCTCTTTGAATCTTTCATCATCAATCTTATCTTCTTGTGAAATTTTTGATTACCCATCAGCCTTTTTAGATAGGTAGAAAATCATATAGAAGATTAAATTTATTTATTGAATCTAATAAACCAGAGTAAAAGTTTATAGACTACTTCATTTATGACATAGCCAATAAAAGGAATTTCAGAAAATTTAGATAAGAAATAGTTGGCAATTTAAACAGTGAGATTAACCTTGGAATTTGTCAGAATGACCTTTATTGTGATTTTCTATAATGGAAAACGAGAAAAAAATGAAAATACTACGAACTCCATTTTTAATAAATTTTTCATTAAGATCTGATAAACTTACAACTTAAAATCATAATTACCTTTGAATTTCTAGTTTAAAAAAGTTAAATCATATGAAAATCAAGGGACATATGACACATTTCTTCAAAATTTTCAAAAAACAAACTTTTGAAAAATTTAAACCTACTACTTTGACAGTATATCTCGCGCCCAATCCAATAAAATACAAAAAAAAAAAAAAATGGAGCAGCAAAGAAAACATCTCTACCTCCTGGAGGTCGTTGTCAAACGAGTCACGATATATCCAAAAGTACTTCTGCAAAGCTTTTCCTTTGACCCTGCCCAGATCACAGAGCTACCAATCCTTGTTAAAGTCAATTTCTCGAGTTTCTTCAATGTAGAAATTGACAAAGACGGAAAGCTTGGGCATTGTAAACATCAGTTCCTCGTACTTAACAGAATATTAAAGTCTCGAACTTAATGTGATTTTTTTTCAAAGGCAAAGTGAAGCTGCCGAAGGATAAGAGGCCTCCTACTCCAGCTGATGTGGAATCAGATAATGAAGAAGCCTCTGGTAAGAACATATTAATTATTAACATTTTTAGGTCCCATAAGTTTTTAAACGTATTCATTTGCTCACATTAAACAACACATCCTCAATTGATCTGTATTCAATTCATCTATGCATTACCGCCGCATCAGGACCGCGGTAGCCGAGTGGTTAGCATGAGAGACTCTCACGCTGCGGTCGTGGGTTCGATTCCCACTGTCGCCTCTGGCCCTTTTTTCCCGATAGCCCCCAATTTGAACACACAAAGAATTCGTACCATGGCTAATATGCAAGATCATAAGGCCAATAAAAAAAAAAAAATCTATGCATTAGCTGGAAAATATATATGTAATTTATTTCAGAATTTAAAAAATGTTTTATAATCCTAGGCTTTTCAGGTTTTTTTAAATTAATTTATTTTTTGAATAGAAATTGATATCACATCATATTGATATCACACATCTATGAAGTAATCTGTTCATCTTTCCAATCTATATAATTTTATTTATTTTAATGAGGGTATTTCAACTATGAAGTTATTTGAACCCTCAGGGAGCTGGTGTTTTTGAAAAAAAAAAAAAAAGCCCATTTGTAAGTATGTCAGGTTCAAATGCAGGGCCACTGGATTCAAACTCGGGACCTTTACCTTACAGTGATGAGTGCCGTGTCAACACCTGAACTGTAGCGGCCACCAACGGCCCCCTGCCTATGTCATTTTAAAATTAATTTCATGGTTTTTTTTTTTTCAATTTTTTATTATTTTAGATATGTTAAATCCTTTTCTTTTGTGTAATTTATTCACACTTAGCAATCAATCTATTTATTTGTGATTTTAAAGTTAATTTAGAACTTATATGAAAGCTCGGTTTTCTTGTCCATTAATTCATAATCATAAATAAATAGATAATCATTATTTATGAAAAATATTAAAACTATTATTACATAAACTATTGTTTTATCAGGTAAGTCCTGCATCTTTCCTCTCTCAAGTGAATACATGGAAAAAGAAATACGCGAGACGCCAATGTACCTTAACTGTTTTACAAAAACAGAAGGGAACATGTCACCAATTTTACTAGGTAGAACAAAAATCAACCTCGGTTCTAGCTTTCTTGAAACAGTGTGCCGTGGTAGATTACCGGCTTTTCTGCCAGCCTCTTTGACAGTCGATACGACTGAGAAATTGACCAACATATTCGGTGAAGAGAGCGGAAGCGCTGACATCTCAATTCGACTGTCCTGTTTTGGTAATGCACTCTTAAGTGACTTCAGGTCTCTGTCTCCAATGATGAATACTGAATTCGTGAACAAGGAACAATTTACAAAACAGGTTAAGGGTAACTGTAACATTCTGAAAGAAAGGATTTTTCCATGCCTTTGCTGATCTTCCAATTAGCTGAAACCATTCACTGATGGGCAACATAAAAGTTATCCTCTCAATAATTCAATTAAAATAAAGTATCTTGTCTATGCATAATTTGTAACCTGTAAACCTTATTAAATGACAGATAATGATACTGAAAAATGTTTTTAAAAAAAATAAAGAGCCACCAATAAGAAATTTATTTTATTCTATTTCTACTAAACATTTTGTTAATTTAATATTAACATAGTGGTTAAAATTAATTATATGAATAAAAAAATATATGAAAATATATCATGAATAAAATACTAAAACAAATACAATTACATTATGAGATTCTCATTTTGGTCTGTCTATCCTTGCTGGGTTGGCCTGTCAAGAGAAGTCAACCCAAATAGGCAAACAAATGATTGGTAATACCAAATTACAAATATAAACTATAGTAGAAAAATTTGTTTTATAAAACAATATACAGGTAACCAGAAAACTTCAGGCTTCAGTTTTTCATTTGTTATTGTTTTAATACCGTCAATCAACATTTCTATATACTCGGAAGGATTAAATGTTTACATTACATACTTTACACCTAGAGGGATAATGCATCAGTTCATAAAGAAAAAGTGTCTTGAACAGTTTACTGTAAATTATATTTTCTGTAAATATTTTCTTACTGCTTCAAAATCCATTAATCATATGTGCTTATTGTATGAATTTAAGCTGGGTAGTAGGACGGCTTGTAAAATTTGCACTATATTCGCAAGTGAGTGCACTGCCGAAAATTGGTTCAAAAGGATTGCTGCTGGGAACAAATGGATGAATAACGGTCTAGTAGACCTATCCTTAATGACAACAAATTGAGGAAAGCTATTGAATTTGATTTGTCAAATATGTCAGGAGCTTGCTAGTGTATTCAATGTAAGCGATGAAACCATTCAATTTATCTTACATCATCTTGGGAAAATGTAGACGCGGGGCAAATAGGCTCCTCTTAAATTGACCACTGGTAAAATACTTTAGAGTCTAAACAATTGCCTATCACGGCATAAAGTGGAAATGTTTTTACCAGATAATCACATGCGATAAAATAATTGATCCTCTACAGTAATATCAGGAGGTCACCAAATGACACCACCATTGATGTGAAAACCAAAATATCACCAACAAAAAGTGATGCTTTGTGTTTGGTGAAGTACAGCAGGCATTGTGCAGTACTACACTCCTACCATGAGAGACTATCACCACAGAAATCTACTCAAGTCAACTGCAATGAGTATTGCATGCCCTAGCCCAGAAACAACCTGCTCTCGTGAACTGAAAAGGTGCAATATTTCACCAGGGCAGCAAGAGCAAGGTGATGACGAAGCTTGTTTGGGAAGTCCTACCACCCACTGTACTCTCCAGACCTGACCCCATTGGACTCACTTTTTCGTAGTGGGTGACAATATCCATAATTGGGATGATAGATAATTGCCAATATCTGGAAAATGAGCAAAATTTATTTTTTAAGTTTTGAGACCCTAACTTTTATACAAGGGTTAGTAGCACATTGGGAGAAAGTTATAGATGCCTAAAGAAATTATTTTCCTGAATAAAATATCTATAAACAAATTTTAATTAAACCCATACCAACTTTTCTGGTATAACTTAATCTCCATCATTCTGATATTCTGGCCAAGTTTTAACATTCCACCAGGAGATGGAAAACATGCATAACGCTGGGAGGGATAAAACAGGCGAGAATGAGCAGACCAGAATGATCAAAAAATGTTAGCTAAAGTTTGAACATCTTGCAGATCTTACCAAAATGTTTACAGCCCATGTTGAATTATTAGAAAAAAAGGTTATCTTGTAATTTCACATACATTTTAAAATATGAATTTTTTAAATGTTAAATAGTTGCTGCAATCGACTACTTTTCAATGATTTTACCATTGCATATATATATTTGCTAAACCAGTTGCAATTGTTTTAATGCATTTTCATAACAATAAAAATAGCTCTTATGGTCTAATGCTCATATGACTCTTTGTTCATCACACATAAATATGGTTTCCAGTTTTGTGAAGGGTTTGTTTTCTCTACAATCACTGAGTTATTAGCTACTATACTTAATTCTAAAATAACAACAATAATTACACAATACTGTAAGATGTTGTTGAATATATTAGCTTTCACTGATTGACGATTGTTCACGTTGTAAAAAATCATCACTAGAGCAATGATGGATATCAATGCCTGTATAAATAAGGGAAAAAAATTACAACAAGTTTTTGCATTTTAATATTAAAATTACCTCAAATAGCATGCTGATTGCAATTAAAAGTAACAAAGATTGATGATAGAAACATGAGGCGAGTGTCACGCTTATAAATTTTTTCAAGTGAGAGCTAAACATCAAGATGCCCATCAAAAACAGCCCGAAATTCCGCTTGCACTGGTACATTCTTGATTTTATCTTGTCAGAGGTTCGAATCTAGAAAGAAACAATGTACAATTTGACGGTTGACACTTCGGACTGAGAAATTTGCTTACAGGGGGCAAACTCTCGGGACTTTTAGTCTTTCGCTCTTCAGGGCTGACATCTAACAATTCCAATTGTTGATTCTTACCCGCTGAAAATTGAAATTCATTCTGTCCAAATTAAAATTGAAATAATTATATCGCTGAATATCTTACATTCGACCAGAGGCGTAATTCTCTTCTTATGGGCCATTTGAACTGTTAAATGTCCGAGTAATTGACACACTGCTCTCAATCTAAACAGCACAATTTACTAAATTGCGCTTTATTAAAACACGTAAAAAAACCACGTTGGGAGATAATTTTCTGAAGAAAAAATGCTTTACGTTTTTACATACATTTATTTCTAAATCAACAATATTATTGATCATAAATGAAAATAATTTTTTGATTTTTATTTCATTCGGTGTAGAAAAACAATAAGCACATAACAAATTATACGGTGAAATTAATTAAAATTAATAAAATAAATATAATTAACTGAGTTAATTTGAAAAATTGATTTAATTTTGTGTTTATTTGTTACTATTTACCAACAGATGTGCTTCCTTATCACTCTGAAACCTAAAAAAGGGTTTGACCTGTTGTCTCCAACTCAGATATTTAGAGCGCATTTATTTATTTTTTACAAACAATATTGGTTAAATATAACTATTAACAAAGTAAATTTTGTATAACACTACTTAAATTGTTGTAAAACTACTGAACGCAAAAAATTATTTAAAAAATTAAACAAATTCTTGTTCTTTTGTATAAGAGGGTTTTATTTATTAATTCTGTTTAGGAGGGAAAAACAAGATTTCCTACATTATAATGTTGTAGTTTAGTAATTTGTAAAAATAGTTAGTTACTTTACTATTTACTTATAGCTTGTAATCATGGTCTAAAAATATTATCTACAAGTGACTTTAAACTTCTTAAATTTGGCCAACAGTAAAAATAAATTTATATGAATCATACTGTTTTATGGCTAAAATTTATTTAGAATCAATAGTTGCCTAAACATAAAATGAAATTAAAGCCTAAAAAAATTATAAATACAGGAATGGGAAGTTGGCTTCCTTTTAGAAAATATCATTACTTAAATGGATAGCAAAGAGTAAAAATGGCAAGACGTTGAATAAATTATGCTCAGGCATTTAGCAAAAAAATTGCATATTTCTGATATAATTTTCAAATAAAACATATATTTTATTTATTTGTACTATTTTACTATTATATTTCAGTGAAAACTTGGTGTATTACACAAGTTAATAATTGGTATTTTGCATTATTGGAAAATAAACCAAGACAATTATAACCATCATTTATATATTATACATTAGAATCAATTGTTTATTTATTAATTACTAACTTGTTTTTTCAAAATTTCAAGATTAAGATTAACATAGGAGCAATCCTTTTTACAACCTGTGCTCTGCGACCAGTACTGGTGCATCTACATTGCTGTCTAGATCTCCTCATTAAGATTATGGCTTTTATCAGTACACAAACTTTTTTCGAGGACTTCTATGTGCATCCATCAGCTTTTCCTCTCCCAGGAGTAGGAATCTCAGTCTATATAAGCTTTCGTATTAACAGAGTACATGTTCTGTTGTCTCTTTTTCTTCCTGGGAATACCTTCAGCAAAGACTTGTTTCTGCCACTCTAAGTCTATATGTCTCCGGAGCCTGCAGTGCCAATTAGTAGTCCAACTATTATTCTAATCCTAATGTCCTAGATTTAGTAGCTCTTCTGTTAGTTTCGGTGATGGTCCTTGGATGAACTTTTTCACATGGCTTTGTCCTGGGCTACATTCCCATTGAATAGGGACTATTTTTAATCGAATGTCTGATGGATTCACATTTTTGGCAGTTTGGTATGCCACAGAAGGGTTCAGGGTCAATAATGTCTTGTCGAACTATCCTCGGCCAATTTAATGGCCTCTTCATTCCCTGTGTGCCTTGGTACCAAGCCATGGGTAATTTTATTGGTTTCCCCCAATGCAGGGCCCTAATGCAATTCCAAATCACTACCACTGGTAATTGCCCTCTCTGCTACTGCCCTGGCCAAATCGATTTTATATATATAAGGCTATTTTTATACATATAACGTTGCCTAGCCTTTAACATCCTTGGTACATGTTCAATAACCAGTCTCTCATAATTTCAAACAAATTTGTATACATCTTTCTTAATATGAATGCAATGAAAGCTTTGTTAAAAAAAATTTCTTGTTAAAATGTGGATAATTAAAAACAAAAATTAATTATTATACATAATTATTTTTTTATTTCATAATTACATCTTGGATATTCATTTATGCAATACTTTTATATTTGTTAAGAACAAGTGTTTTGATTTCTTTTATTAATTAATATGTTTTGTTATTTATAAGACATAATATAAAATAATAATTCTAAGATTTTGTATTGTAAAATGTCGATTGCTGTACGTATTATTAATGCTAGTTAAAAACTATTAGTAATTTTTATATATAATTTAAATTTGTTTATTGTAATTTTACAGCATTGTGATTATTGTTCGTTCATGATATTTGTAAAGCTTGCTGAATGTGCTCATATATAATTTAGGCTAAAACTATAAATAAAATGAGAAAAAAAAAGTACTAGATGGACTAGCTAGCTGTCTGGCAGATAAAACCAGCAAGACTAGACAGACCAGAGTGACCAGAGATGATCAAGCAACAATTTTTTGCCAGTGCTTTTTGGATTAAAATAAATAAATGTTGGATAGATTTTTCATTATTTCATTATTCTTTTAATTTTAAGGCACAATGGAAATTTATTGTTGTGGTGTATTTTTTGGTTCTATTGCATGGTTTATTGCTAGTATGCTTAATTCTAAAATAACAAGAACAACTACACAGTACAATAAGATGTTGTTGAAAATATTCGCTTTTACAAATTGCTGGTCATTGTTCACATTGTAAGAAGTCATCACTAGTGCACAAAATACTACCAATAGCTGAAACATATTTATTATTATTTTTATAAAAGCGTTTTGAGTTATAATGTGACAATTACCTCTATGAAAATACTAATTCCAATAACTGTCACCAACACTCCATAGTTTAAATCCAAGTTGACTACGATCCTGGATCCTTTATTGAAGTGAGCACCAATCAAGATTATACCCATCAATGACAACCCGAAATTCTGTTTAAACTGGTACATTCTTGACTTTGTCTTGTCAGAAACCCTTCCTTTCTAAATAAATATCAAATTAAAAATATTATTGGAAGTGAATATTTTACGGCGTAAAATTCACTTACAGGGGACAAAATCTCAGGAGTCCCCGTCCTCGGCTCATCGGGATTGTCGTCGATAAATTCCAACTGTTGAAGTCTTCCCACTGAAATATCAATCCATTGCAATTCATTTGCTATTTATGAAGAAAAAAAATTTAATTTCTCACATTCGTTCAAAGATAAAACTTCTTTCTTTTGCTCCATTTAGATGTTTGATTGAATAAATTTAGGAAAATAATTATGACACTACTTTCTGTCGATCTAAACATCAAAAGCAATTAAATTATTTTAAATTAAAACAACCTTGAGAAATAAAGCGTTCGTAAGTGAATATTATTTTGCTTGTATTTATTCCAATTTACTTCAGAATCAGCAATTTGTTATTGACACAATATTTATTTAATTTAGTATAGAAAAGCAACAGGCTGTTAAAAAATTACTTTATTTTATCGTATAAATTAATTATTCACTCATTTAATTGTAAAAATTGGATTATTTTGTGTTTGTTCATTAGTATTTACCAACAGATGGGCTTCGTTCTCACTCTAAAACCTAAAAAGGGGTTTGACCTGTTGTCTCCAACTTAATGTTCAGCACGCATTTTATCCGCCTCATCAGTGAGATCGGTTAAATTTAAAAATCAAGAAATTTAATTTTCATTACTCGAAAGAAATAAAATCTTGGGCAAATATCTTTTATTAAGTAAGATAGCAATCGGTTTTGCTGGAAATATACGATTTTTAATTGTTCATTTTTCAAGAACCGCCAAATACTTTTTTAAAATTTATTTACAAAAGCATCGTTTATTCTGAAATAAAGTATACTATAATGTAGAAATTCAGTATTAATTTATCATAAAAAATTTATTGATTACTACCAAACAAAACAGATTATATTACAGATTTCATTTAGTATTGTACTTGACTCTCAAAAAATGTTACTCAGTAATAAAATTATTCTATTTTGGATTAATTCTTTAATTTTTTAAATATTTTGATTTATATAAATAGCATGCATAAAGTTGTAATTGTTTGCATCAGCCGTATATCCGTATTATTTATGCAGAGTAGTTTAAAAGTCACCAAGTATGATATGAAAATCAGATATGATAAGTATCTTATAAGACTTTAATAAAAAATCTTACATAATGTAACTGATTTTTTTGCTAGATTATTTTTTCACCTTTGATTTATTTAATAAGCAGTTCAAAACATGGATTTTTTTAGACATTAACCAAATCTAAATGTACGTTTTTATTTAAATATTATATATTCTAATATATTCTATATATTCTATATATTCTATATATTCCATATATTCCATATATTCCATATATTCCATATATTCCATATATTCCATATATTCTATATATTCTATATATTCTAATATTATATAAATATTATATATAGTCTAAATCATAGACAGTCATCACACACCATGTTGATGCTTATTACGTAAAATCATATAAAAAATGTAATTTCTATAATTAAAAGGGTTTTAAATTGAATATTAATCTTAAATTCATTAGATTCTGATTGACCAAATAATATCTTTCAATTAATTAATCTTTATGTAAGGTATTGGTTGAGATAAAAATGGCAAAAAGGAGGGAAAATTTCAAAGGTTGGGTTGAGGTGGGAAGTTAGTGTCCAAGTGGATCGAAGTCAAGATATTTCAAGTGGTAGAGCAGCGGTGTATTTAGTCGAAGGTCGTGGGTTTGAATCCCACTTGTGACGCTGACTTTTTTTATCTCAACCAATACCTTATATAAAGACTAATCAATTTTAAATTGAATATAAGTTCATACAATGAATTAATGTAAAAATAAAGCAACAATTTATTTTTTAAATTGTACTGAATGTTATATAATAAATATAAAAAATTGTAGATAGAAAATATATGAATAGAAAGTACTTATACTTAAAAACAATTTACTACAATTTAAAAAATTACAGTGCCATGTATATGCATGGCATATGTCATAAACCTTGTTAGAATTGTTTAAATATTTATTAGCTTTAGTTACAGGTTCCAAGTACAAGTTCTTTTGCATGGCAAATACTTCATCCATGTTTATTTCCCTTCATAAAGAGCAATTTGCGTAAAGTACTACATGTCTTCTTTTGAGCTTATTATTATATTTAGGCTTTATAATGATTCTGCTTCTGCTTGACATTCATTTAAGTATATACATCTGGATTTTGCTTTTTATTTAAAAAAAAAATCATTTTTACACATTTTTAAAAATCTCAAGAAAGCCATGCTGTGTTGAGTTATTACACCGTTTAACAATTTATGCAATTTATTAAGCATGAGAAATTTGTAATGGCAATGTCCTAAATGTTAAATCATTATGTGATATAAAATCCTCTAATGTAGTTTGTTAGAGCAAATTTAAAATTGCTAGTCATTTTATATATAATTATACATGGTGGAGGATTATTTAAAATATCATTCATGCGTTTGTAGCTATTGATAATATTTGCAAATTGTTATTTGGAGATCGTGAAGTGTGGTCTTGCAAATTGGTTGGAATGTATGGCAGTTGAACAAAATTGTGAACTATTAGTCTTTTTTCGTACGATTTTTACATTTTGTAGCTTAAGGTGTATCAATTTAGTAAAGAATAATAATTTATTTTTGTGAGATCCTTTTTTTATAATTTTGGAGGGAAGTGTTGGAGGTTCTGCTTCATCTCCCACTTCATCTTAAGCCACGCCCCTTAGAATCCGTTGAGCCGTTGTACAACTAGCTCTACCCTACGGTCTAGTCTAGTGTCTACAGTTTTTGAATCAGCCTTCGTTCATTTATGATCATAGATTTTAAACGTATTTATACAAGAGAAAAACCAACCAAAAAAAGAAAGTACATCAACTGTGACACATTTTGTTTAAACGGAACATTCTATTTGTGTGGAGCTGAGCGGAATCGTGAGTTTTCTACCCTGGTTTCCTTTACAATTTGAAATGTCTTGGCAGAAGGAATATGTCCCTGGAGTTCGAAAGACGACCCTGGGATCAGGACGAGGCTCCAGCATGCGCAACAAACCCTTGAACCTCAATGTAAAAAGTTCTACTTACGACGGTAAATAATTTATGTTGATATGAGAACAATTGCATCTTGCATGATCAAACTTGTAAAAAAAAAGGATGGTTTTCTTTGCATGATTTAAAGTGATGTCTGGATCATAAATATGATTATCCTTAGCATTGTACTTAATTTTACACTTATCTAAAGGTTCTATTTGAATAAATGAAAATAGTTTAAAAAATGAGCAGTTATTAAGGAAAATAAAAATTAATGCCAGTAGTTAAATTTGTCTAAGTTCTTGTAAAGGTGGCTCCAGACATGCGGTATTTGTCGTATGCTGCTTGCTGCTGTACGTTTGCCAAGTCATGAGATGCTCGTCTTGACATTCGCAAAATAGAGTGCCTGTGTATACACACATGCAGGGTTTGAACAACCGGTCAGTTTGTGCGGAAACAGCGAATGCGTATTTGCCAAGTGCCATGCGAGTCCTCAACTTAATATTACTTACTGATCGTGATGGACAACAATGAAACTGTCATTGCTGCGGTTGCAGTTGCTACACTGTCTTGTGTAGTGTATACAAACTTTATGCCCCTTCTCACTTTCCATCCGTTTCTGCATCGAAAACCTTATTCGATTTTTGTCATTCTGAAGAGAAGCGTTCCAAATTATTGATTCAGCTTGAACAGATCAATTTATTATTGAAAAAGAAAGTAGTAAATAGAAGTTCATATTTACTGTTGGTTGATGTTTACCTTTATAGTACAGCTGATTTCTGAATGTGAGGATGCTTTGAGTTTGGCTACTTCATGAATATTTGTGCACATTGAAGTGGACAAGAAAACCGACAATTAGCCGAGCATGGTAGCACTGAATATTGTTGCTCGGTGAATAAACAAACACCCATCCCCACTAGGTGGGGAATTCGGCGAACCTTTGCTCAGCATTCGGCGAATCCCTCATGTCTGGAGGCACCTTAATGTTTATTGAGGGATATGATCATTAGTTTCATGAAGTTTAAATGCAGTAAAACATCCCAACAACGGACAGTTAAGTTAGTTTCTTTGTAGGTTATTTTTTTGTCTGCACTTGGTGCATGGCCTGATCAGCCTTTTAGCAGGGAGTGAAGCGATAAAATTCTACTTTCAAGAAATGGTGCTCGTCTCATAAGTTCACAAGCAGAAAAATACCTCAATACCTAAGGATCAAGGACCTTTTCCAACAGGCAAAACAGCATTAACCTGACCCACATTGTATAACAAGAAGCTCAAAGGGCCAAAATGATTTCTTTCCAGTATTCGTCCCATACTCCCAATGATGGATTTGGTTGTTCCAGCTCCCTCGAGTGGTGCTCCAGCTAAGAGCTTTCAACAGTCAAGCCAGCATTGGCTTTCGATTTAAACGGAATGCTAACCACCCCTCAGAGAGCCCAGCTGTTGGGTAAAGGTGATAAACAGCAGCATAAGAATGACAATGACAAACCCTAAATACCCTGTAGGATTCTCACCATCAAGCCCCTACGATTTCAAATTCAGTTGCAAGTTATGGGCTTGGAACTTAGCTTGCACCTGTAGTTTAGTCAATAATGCCCCCCGTTTTATTAGATGGGATCTGGTTTGCAGACCTGTGACTGATCATGCACCTGTCGTCCTCCACTGATGATTTCATCTGTCATATACGGATACAGCTTATGCTTTAGAGCAGGGGTTGGCAACCTTTTTCGGACGGCGGACCATTTTCAAAATAAAATTTTTTATGCGGGCCGCACATTCAAATGTAACTTAAATAGTGCTTTTATATCATATACGAGTATAAATATTATTATGGGGAGTGGGGATTAAACTTGCGCAGTAAAATAGGTTTCCCACTATTCTTCTGTTAGCGCGCATTTTTGTCACCGGCCACATTTCGGCACGCTCACGCTCTAAGTTTGTTGATTTTTCCTAAAATTATATTGGGCTTTGGCAGGCTGCGCAAAAAGTTGCAAAGGGTCGCAGGTTGCCGACCCTTGCTTTAGAGAATTCACCATGCTCTCTGGGCTGCACCATTATTTTGCGCCTGGAAACCATCAATCATTGTATTCAAGGTTGGGGATGAGTATTTCAAGAGCAATTTTAGGAAGCAAAAGATTGAGAAAGGGATTGCTTGCAAAAGTGAAGTTCACCTTTTCAGGATGCGCCCCACGTAGTGGGTTTCTATGTACCACCCAATGTCTTTGTGATCCCCAAAATGAAAAGGGGTACGGATCCTCCTTATAGGGTGGACCTCTCTTGTTGAATGAAATATTATCCACTGTACATAGGAGACCAGGATAAAAGTGAAAAAAAGTTTAGTATTAAAGATAAGCCATAATGGCTCATCACCAGATATTGACACCTTTGAAATACTGAGGATTTTAGCTTTTCAATTATCAGAGGGTTTTTCAAATTTACTGACCTTTTGCATAAGAAGCTAAATACCCCTTTAAAATTTAAAACCTCTCTGAAAATGCTCGTGTTTTTACTGCACAGTTTTTCTGGAAATACTCTAAAAAATAAGGCCACCTCATTGCAATTAAAAATATTTCTGGGTTCAAAATCAGGTTAAGTGTCTTAAGTGTTTGCATCCAGTTTTGTACAACTTCGGTCTTTTGCTCAACTAATAGTCTTAAAAGAAATCTTATGCTGTGTTCCTTATAGTCGTGCCAACCTGAAGATGCTTTGAAATCTTTGCAGCTTTTAGGGCCTTTTCTTGGATAAGCGAACCAGACATTGATATTTTACAAACCTGAGGGAGGCAAAATTATTCAAATATGTCCTGGTCTATGGCTGAACCAGATATTTGAGGAAAAAATCTTTTTTTATTTTTATTCTTTAAAATTTCACTTGCCTGGGCCTTTCTGAAACTTTGCAGCATACTTAATTTTTCACTTTCACTCACTTTATTTATATTAATTTTTTCTTTAAGTGTCAAACCCACTAAAGAAACTGAACTTAAACATGTTTGCAAAGTGGCATTATAAAATATAGGAATATTGGGAAAATATTGGAAGGTGAACAAAACACAAAGGGGAATTAGTGTTTCTCAGTAAGCGCTCATTTCCTGGAGGTGCTTTCTGTTATTGGGAGAGTTTTAGAGTAAGAGTATAGTTGAAAAAGCTGTCAGTGTCTGTTATTGGTAGTGTCTGTTTTGAAGAAAGGTTTAAGACAAAGAAATTAATGGAAAGATGCTAGGGAATCATAATTTGTCTGTTCAAGGTAGTTAATGAATGTTTTAATGTATTTGATAACCTTTCTAGCCTTAAGGATAAAGACAATATATTAATCCAGAAAAACTTACTCAAGGATGATGTTTTATTTAATTAAATAATTACCTACCATTGAAATACCTAATTAAATAACATTCATCCAGCGGCCCTCGTTAAAAAAAAGTATTGGCAAAATTATGTAAGTGAATGAAAAATGTATTCATTTTTTATTTAATTGGTGTGATATTTGGGTTGTAGGTGCAACAAAATCGATCCACTCTTCATACAGCTTCCAAAACCAAGACAGTCAGTCAGAAAATAATTTGGGCTTCAGTAGCCTGTCTTTAGTAAGTATAAAATATTTTATGGTTGTTTGTCTGTATATTTAACTGTAATTTGTGCATTGTAGAAATCCAAAGGACCTCGGAGGAGTCTTTTGGGAAGGAGGTTTACACAGAAATTTCCATCGCTGCTAGACAACAGCAAAGAGGGCGAGGCGGCTTCATCCAGCAGCTTCAGTTCCATAAAGCCCCGCTACTTTTCTTCTCCCAAAAATGATAGGTGATTGTTTGTTATTCGATTAATTGGGAATTTGTCTATAAAAAAATTGTAAACAGATTGTTTCTAATCATCTATATTCAAGTAGAAAAATTGGCCTTTTTGTTTTCGATTGTCACTTTAGAATAAGAAAAGCTCAGCATCATTCAGTTGTTGCATGGGAAATAAGTACCTTGTTTCCCCCCCATCCAAAAAGCCTACTATAACAAAAATTTACTTTAAAAATACCACATAATGAGCAAATCTTTACGCTAAAAGATGTCAATGACAAAGAATTTAGGATTGACAACTTGCTGAACTATAATCAAATTAAAAAAAAAAAGAAAAGATTTTTCTGTAGTTGAAGTAACAATCATCCTGCATCATCCACAAATGACAGATTTTTTACACATAAAAACAATATTTTTTTAACATGGCCTTATGTTATTGCATATTAGCTGGCAGAGTATATACTACTGCATTGTAGTATGTAACTATATCGTGTTTATTTATTAGGGAAAGGGTAGCATGAAAAAAGGGGCGGGAGCAACAGTGGGAATTGAACCCATGAACACTGGGGGAGGGTCCAAGGGTTGAGAGTCTAACCACTCGAGTTCTGCAGTCCCTCAATTTATTTTTATTGATACAATACAAAATAAAAATTGTATACTAGGCTTAAATGAAATGGAATATAAATTTTCTTAATACATTCAATTAAAAAAAGGATCATTATTATAATTAAAAATTTCAATTTATTATACACAAATTTTGAAATTAAATATTTGTGTCAAAGGCAATGTTTGAGGCATGATGGATCAATGTCAAGTAGAGCATCAACATTTTTATCCGGTGATCTTGCATAATAAATTTAATATATAATGATAATAATAAATTTCAATTAATTACTATTTTTATGTAAGGCTTGGTTGAGATGAAAAAGCTAGTGACACGATCGGGATTCAAACCCACGACATTTAGCTCAATACGCCGCTGCTTTAACCATTTGCGCTATTGTGACTTCAAGAAGTGATAGAGCTTGAGCCAAAGGTTATGGGTTCGAATCTTGCTTATGTCACTAGCTTTTTCAACTCAACCAAGACCTTACATAGAAAGTATAATTAATTGAAATAATTAATATGGTCAATTAGACCATTACACATAAATGGAAAATAATAAAAATGATCAACAAATAAAAGTTGTAGTAATAATTTCTAAATGTTTCATTAATGTGATTTTTAAATATTTGAATTTACACAGTTCAAGGGAAATGGTGACTCCGAAAAAGATGCCAAAGACTCCTTCCCACCCTTTTCCAGATCTCGACAATTCCTCATTTTTTGAAAATGGTATCAGGTAATTAGATACATCACCGACAAAACAAAGCTTTGGGTGATTAATTTTGATGTTTATTTTTAAACAGTAAGTTTACGACATGGAGTATCTTCAAAACTGGAGCTAACAATCGAGGTTTACAATCACCACTGGATAAAAAACCTTTCACGAAATTACAGTTCAAACCAGTGTAATTATTTTATTTATTATTTATTTAAAATTTACATATTTTAATAATTATATATATTTTTTTAGAATGTCCCAAAGTACATCTGTTTCACAAAAACCTAATAATTACAATTCACACCAACGTTCTAATTCTGAGTTGGTTTATGATGATAAATCTTTATCTCTTGACAATTCTCTAGGAACGCTTCCTTTAGATTTAATCAAGCAGAATAACAGTTTTAGTTTTGAACATAATAAAGAGAATCATAAACTACTTCACTCGGCCAGTAAAGGTAAGAAATTAAGTGTCGTTAAGGAAGAAGGTGATAGTGTTATGACAGAACTACCCAAAACTACTGACAATATTCATTATGAGCTTTTAAACAAATGGAACTTGGTAAAGAAAGAATGTGACACTATTAGAAAAGAATACGATGAGAAGTTGAAAAAAATGGAAAATGTGGCTGAAGAAATATTAGAAGCTTTAAAATACAGGTGTTTAAAAAATAATTGTACATCGGATGTTATAACAAAAACTTCACCTACCACTCCAAATGACAGTATAGACAAAAGTAATGAGACGATAATTGTCACTGATCCTGTTACACCGTGTGACAGCTTCAGTTTAATGGAAACTACATACAGTAACTTCAAGACTTTTTATTCGTACCTTAAACCACCGCAGAATAAGGCAAGTGTGAAAAATTCCAGCAGTAAAAATTGCTACACACCAAAATCCCTGTCCAGCAGTCTCAAGCAACAAATGAAACAAATCTATGGAGAAGACATTTGAAATGTAATTAAATAACACAAAATGTAAAGTGATAAGTTGATATGTAATTGACATATTATTATTGAAATCCAGTAAATAATTATTAAATAAACCACTTGAGAAACTCTGGAAAAAGCTATAACAAATTAATTTTAAATAATAATTTTGTTATGTCAGTTATCCATTTTGAACTATGAAACAATAATTTAATAATATATGCGGAAGTGCCTTTCAAATAGTGTCAGTTGTTTACATTAATATATTTTATGTTTAAATTCTCACATTACTGTTATTGCACTCTTTTTTAAAAATTTTATACTATTTCAGTAAAATTGTGATAATAATTTTGTCATCGATATTTAGTTTTTAATTCCCAAATCTTGTTGTAATATATTAATTTTGTTTAAATGTATTTGCCTTTTTTTTCTCCATTTGTCAAATCAGCAATCAAACTCCTAATCATAGCTTGTTTTTCAATCAGGAAATTGCATTTGTCTGAATTTTCTTAACAAAATTTAATTTTGTATTGTGTAGTTGAATATATCCAGATGACACACTCACCCCAGATGACTTGTAATTTCTCAGGACAGGGCTAACAAACCCCTACCTTTCACGCTAATAAATTACATTCATTCCAATGTAAACGTCTTGATACAAACAGAAATCTGGTCACATTCACTCCTCCATAGTACTTGATATTCCTCAGGGTGAGGTTGAACCCATTCCATTATCGCTAATAACTTTTCTCTTCAGATGCACACACTCACCTCAGAGTAATTGATAATCCTCCGGGCGGGGTGAAACAACCCTTCCTTACATGCTAATACATTAACATAGACACAACATACACACATGTGTACACTGTACACATTTAAAAATCTCTATAGCCCTGAGTTGGGCACCAGAACAGCACTCTGTGCCTGATGTCATGCCCCAAGACTACGCATAGGTCTGATGATATGCCCAATTATTTTCATCAAGTTGAAATTGTGGTCATAATGGGCCTTATGCAGTCGCTTTTTGACCGGAAGGTGCTTCTGCATTTTCATGCATGAACTATGCATAGATCTGTAAGATGTCTTTTTCCATTTTTGGTCCGTTCTCTACGGACCAGGTACCGACATCTTTCTTAATTTATCATAGTTTGATAGGTTATTTCTATTTTGACGAACCCAGCGGTTTTTCCATTCTCTTTTTACTGTATTTGGGATTAATAGTTTTAAAAACACAGGGTGTTCAGTTTGGGAGGTGTTGGGGCTTTCCCTGTGCTGAGGGGTTTCCTGTGGCTGCCCTGTCTGCTTCTTCATTCCAGTTATCCCTGCTAGCATGACCTTCCCACCTGCATCGATCCCTTTTAAATGTTCTTTTATCTTATTTATTAGAAGGTCCACAGAGGCTCTTCTGAGCTTCTGTACTGCACTGAGCACATTGGTACATAATAGAAAAGAATTATTTTTATTTTGGATCATGCTCAGTGTGAGCAATATGTGTTTAGTTCCGCCATGTACATGCTCATGGTAGGAGGGAGCAAAATTTTTTTAAATTCTCCCCACTTGTGTAACTGCACACTTTTTTATCTTTTAGGGCTTCAAACATGACTTTATATACATAATAGGTGTGTTGTTTTTCTTTAATTTTGCCATATCCCAAAGTACGATGAAGGAGAGGAGTAACAAGAGGGCTGTTTCAGGTAGTTTTCTGCCTCCACCTGATTTAGCTGATTGATGGGGATATTAATTTCTCTCTGATAACTCAACAACACTTCAGTGAATATGTAAATGTTGGGATGAACTGAATGAGAGCAGTACAATTCGCAAGAGTTGGTTGTGGCGTTTAGATTGGGGAAAGGGTTAACTGCACTTTGTAGTCCTTAGCTAGCCCTAAGTTTTTAATTTGTCCTCACCAAGCTTGAGTCAAGTGGAGGCTAGTGGCTACAAGCTATTAGGCATAATAGGATGGCATACAACAGGATTTATAGTGAATCTGCGGGTTTAGATTTAAAGGATTGGAAATGTATCCAAATATTGGAAGGTTTAGCTGTTCCCCACAGACCTATACTGTTTGTCCAAATGGGTAGTATGTTTTGTAGTTTGCAAGTTTGCTTTTTGTCAATAGCTTGGCTTGTCCTATAATGTTTCAAGTAGTCTTGTTGTGTCAGTCTTGTTATGCTGATTCCATGTTAAGCTTGAATCTGGGTGGAACCCAATGTAATTGGGCAACTCAGTCAGATTTGGGCATTGGAAAATTGTAGTAGAGTTGATGCTGAGTGTTGGTCTGTGAGTCTGTGAATTGGGTCACTTATTGGGTTGTTACTACTCAAATGCGTATTGGCATGTTCAGTGAGCAATTAGTGGAGTTCCTCAAGGCCCAATAATTGACCCAATGCTGGTTCATGTTGTAGGAGTAAGTTCTAACTCAAATATACAATGTGATACTGAACCCTTTCTAAAAGGATGCAGTAATAAAGAAATCCATGATTGTTAAACAGTAAATTAAGAATTATGAAACATTGAGGTAATTCTGAACTTCATCACCTAAACACAATTTTTTTCTTTTGATTTTTCAAAAGTTACAATCATGCAGGATTGTTAGCTTGGAGGATTTGGAACACGCAACAATTTCATCAATATTTTATTTGAAGTCAAAGAGATAAAATAATCTATTAATATCATCACAGTTAAATGTGTATTTTCAATAATACAATGTAAGAACATTATTTTGTTAAATAATAAAGAAAAGAATGTTTATAAATTAATATCCTAAAGTATAACTTAAATTATAGATTTAATGATGTCTACATTATAATTTCTGAATTAATAATGAAAATGAATACTAGCATACATTGTAATAATGTTAATACTAATAACAAGACAAAGGTCCAGATTTTCATTGAAAACTATATTTTAAGCTTAAGTTGAAATTAATGAAACTATGAACCAATGTCTTGAACAAAACAATAAAGTATTGTTTATCAAACCACCAATTTTCTGAAGAAGAATAATTCAGCAAAATATACCATATAGAAACTTGTTTTTAAAAAGAACTATTTTAAATTTTGTACAAGAATGTATAAAGCAATGTTTAACAGCATGTTATGCGATTGAAGGGTGTGGAGCGCACTACAAATAAACCCTGAAATTTTAAAGAAAAGAGCACCATTCCCAATGAAGCATCAGACGTATGGGGTCTGTTGAGGAAGAGCCGAAGATTGTTGTTTAAAATGAATATAAAATTGTATTTAATTTATTAATTCATTTTAAACAACTACAATTCAGATCCCCCTCGTCCTATAAAAGAAATGAATAGAAACGATCTATATTAAAATAATAAAACCTAATACCTAGCCTGGGCAGCCTGACACTAACTGAGCACTACAGCTATATTTTTATTAAATTTGATTTCACATTAAAAACATTTTTACAATTTTAATCAATCAGTATAAAGCCAAATAAAAGAAAACGCATTTTCTTATTTAGGAATTCATTCATGAATAACTGTCTTTATGAACATGTTAGAAATAAAATAACTATAAAATAATATGGCAATTGTTTTTCTAACACTACAGTTTTAACTAGAATGGCTGTATGCAGTATTTGTATATGGGCCACTGTAAATAGAACTTCCACTTGATATTTCCTTCTTGTTTCTTCTCCTGGCCAAGAGAATGACAAAAGCCGCGATCACCATCAACATCAGGATCAGTCCTGCTATTGCAATCCCAATTGCAAAATTTCTCTGCGATATGCAAATGTTGTTCGGGTTTTCAATAGCCTAAAGATTAAATAAATTCATGTTTGAAAAGTTAAAAAAACTCGTGTTACAAAAGTTACTGAATCTCCTCACTTTTTCTCTAGCTACTAAGTCAAATTGATCAGGTCTGGAGAGATCATTTGCCTCGTTCACATAAAGTCCACTGTAGACTTCAATTGTTGCAGGACTTCCCTCATCTGCTTGCCTTTTCTTTCTGCCACGACTGCAGTCTGGAAGCTTATCACCAGCAATTAGTATTCTTTTCATTTACAAAATAAATTGATTAAGGTGTATATTATAATTACTGGAGGGCATCCTTTATCTGCTTTGAGGCAAAGATGGACATTGCAGTGGTAGTAAACAGAATCAGTATAAGGGAATTTATGAGCCTGAAAATCCACTTTGGCTATTGTTTCGTCTTTACTGTAGTGAAAGGGGCCCATTATTTCTGTATCGACTGCACAACTGTTTTATCAAATTAATTACAAAGTGTTATTTTCTCCGGCTCTGTTTTTTAGTATTTACCCAAAATCGTCGATGAGGGGCTGAGAAGCTGAATTTGTGGCATCAGTGACTGAACAGTGAGATAATCTCATGCCATAGACCTCCTGCTTGTCAATGGAGACCATTAGAGTGAGAGTCTCCCCAATTTTGACATTTTGCGCTACATGATCGCCTTGGTATATCACCATTGAGCAGCCTGGCATTGGTGCTGTACCTAGTAACATTGTCGGCTCAAGTACCATACTGAAAAAAAAATCATTGAAAATAAACTGATTAATAATAAATAATATTGAAAACTTACTTCACATTAATATCATTAGTGATCATCTTCTCCCTCGTCGTGTACTTGCACCGTACATGGAATCCTTTGCCCTGGCTTGTTACCAGCTTTCGATGTGGTTGCACGACTATCGTGTTGTAATACTCTATAGTCCCGTCATCCTGGTTTAAAAAATAAAATATAAATTTGATTCTGAAATAAAGGATAGAAGCTTAGAATGTTTTTATTAATTTAGAAATCCTTTGAATCGTAAGTTCTATAAAGTTAGTTTTTAGTTATTGAGTATAGTGCTTAACTTATTAACATAATTTTCAGCGTTATAATGCACAAAAGACGATTCTTTGTATAAATTATAAATTCTTATACTGACATGTTTAAGTTTAATTTTTAGTAAACTATAATAAACTAATAACAAGCATAAATAAATCGTAATTTTCCTCTACGATTGTTTGTTGTTTGTTTAAATGTTGTGTTTATTGCAACTTTGTTATGTATTATTGAAATTGTCGAACGATTGTCATCCTTGTTTTGTACAATTGCACTATTAAAAGACAAAGTTCATCATGTGAAAAGAAACATATTTACTTGAGTGTTGAGTATTCCAAATAGGTTTTAAAATCTTTAATTTCAACTGTTCATGCTGACAGTATTTCATGTAAAACTATCTGCTGAGTTTATTTTTACTTTATACTGCTGATCTATCCGTATGAAAACTTAACTCATCGTATGTTTTTTGTTAATAAATAAAGTGTCTTTTTACCATGTTAGAGCTCATCGTGTTGCATGCGCTCAGTGGCAGTTCGTAAGTGACGGGACCCAGGGCGTTTGAATAAAGTGTCATACAGGACGAGTTTCTTCCGAGCCCTCGTGGATAGATCATACCATCAAAGAGTCCTGTGGTCGAATCCACGGTTATCGTCATGTGTTCGCTTCGACATGCCACTCTTACTTCTGGCATGCCCAACGCTATATCTGTTAACAGAAAAGTGAAAAATTAATTTGGATATTATAATTATTAACAAAGACATAGAAACGGGAACTGTATAAAAAGTTTAGTATTTATTTATTTTTACATAGCTTTATTGAACTGATAATAATTAAATTACTTGTTTTCATACTAGTCTATCCTTCCAATCTATATCAAAATTTATATAAATTTCTATTAAAATTTCTAAAATTAAATTCATCAGGGCTGAATCTAAAAGAATTAACATATTTCCGTATTATTATAGGTTGTGTTGATGCCTATGAAGTGTTGATTTTTCTTAGCTTTGTCTTTTGAATTTTTAATTGACCTGTATGTTTCATATAGTATCATTTTTTTGTAGCTCAATCTCTCATAGTGCCTGACTATACTTGCTGACTTTATTTGTCATTTTGACATTTTAAGCGCTTGGGTCTGTATTTTCTCGTATGTATGCCCTGGCAAAAAGCAGCAACATGCCTGAAATCCATTGAGTATGAGCACACTAGGATGATTGGAATCCTAGTTACTTATGAAAACAATTTTATGTTTCTAGTACCATTCTAGCCAAATTGTGAAAACAAGAAAATGATAATATATTATTGTATATAATATATAATATTCTATATACATCACAACCCGTTCACATGAATTATACAAACGGCTAACTCTGGTGTTAGGACAAGTTCATACATGTCTACATATGAAAATAGTTTATTCTTTATTGGAACAATTTTTCGAATGAGACAGGAGCTCAATAACTTAAATTGAAAACCTGGCGCTCACTTGCTGAATTACATCAACGTGTAATATGGGCAAACCAGAAGACCATTATCACTTCCTAGTTGAGTGTAGGTGTTGGAGGAGTTTAGGGTTTATGTATGGGGCTTGAATCAATTATCCTGTGAAAGTGTTATTAACATTTTGAATGGTTAGGATTAGAACCAACTGATTAAATATCTAGTGCATGCATTAAAATGAGAATTTCTCTTAACAGAATTCAACTATGTATAAGAACAGCAATTACCCTTGTATATCTTATGATATACATTATGATGTGTTTTTTTACTTCTTTTTGTCATTAATACTATGTTGTCAGTGGATTGTTAGGAAAAAATGAAAATTTGGTTTGGAGGAAAGAATTTATTACATTAAAACTTTAATGATTTTATCTGTAGGTTAAAAATAAAGTATATATATAAATTGTATATATCACTATAACATTTATCATTTTCATCTGTTATTTATTTACTAAGTATACACATTTTTTTGATGAAACCACCAACCTGGCAGACAGACTATTGCCCACTGTAAATTTAATTGTGTAAAATAAAAATTGTGTAAAATTCAATAAATTTATTTCTTTATTATTATATAATACATATATATATTGTGATATAATTTTAAAAGTCATATACTTTTGAAGGACAAATTTATGTTGGACTTCAAAATCCATGACAAACTTTAAATTGACTTAGGAGGAGGGATATAAATCGTGGGAGAAGAGGGGATGAATATCTTGAGGATGTGATTCACCTAGGTGAAAGACCTCAAGGTCTTCGCCTTCCTTGTAAAGTTGGGCTTTATTCTTAAAGGGTGGTCAGCGAGTAATTTGAAAAAATCCGATTTTGTCTTCTTAAATAAAAAAAATAAAAAATAAAAAAATACGATTCAAAGACTTTTAACGGGGATTTTCTCTCAAGATAGACAATACACAGTCAAGAATAAATATAAAAATATAAAGTCGAGCTTTAGCTCAAAACATCTTAAATTGTGAAATTTCCATGTGGTCTGAACCACAAATTTGGTTATTATTTTTTATTTTAACTGCTAGGTTATTATGACAGACGCGTTTCTGCATTTCGCCATCTTCATAGTGTCGTTTTCTATTCGTCATTCAAAAACTACCAAATTTCAAACGCAGTTTTTTATTTCTTTCATTAGCATCGAGGAAAGGTTTTGCGTTCGTTTATTCGTTGAACCTATGAAAAGTTTGACGTGTCAATGTTCAGTATAAGGCACACTGGGAATATAATACAATTCAATATGCAACTGCAGTTACCGTCATAATTATCTTTCCTCCTATAATAATTAAGGTCCGCCACGGAGTACTTTTTCTAGTTTTCTCAACAAGACAAATCAATAACGTTCAAAAAATTCAACCAAGCAGACTTTGATAGTTGAAAGATTTTCTTTTACGTTTCTGACAGTAATTTGATTACGTTAATTGACTAGAAAAAGGTCAGTCGTATTTTTGAGCACTCAGACAATCCATAAGTGTATTTTTTTCTACTTCTTTTTACTATTAAAAAATAAATATATTATCTTTGGATTTAACCTGTTCAATTTCATCGCCACGGATTTACTTGGTCCGCTCGTTCTCGCCCTGTGCTTTGGTCAGAAGCGGCATTGCGCCATCTTCAGTGAATGTCCGTCGTGGGTTTTCAGTTTATGGGCCACGTGATTTATCACGAGACCAGCAATTAAAGATCGTGTTGGGGATCGCCAACATAGGGAATGATGTTTATAGATGGGTACGATTAGTCGAAGCTTTCTGTTCTTTAAATTATGTAAGTTCCAAACGATAAAAAAACCACTACGACCTAATGTATATTTGTCACATTATAAAAACATTCGTTGTTAGTTCTTATGATTTGATTTAGCATTACAAACTAAAGGCCATTTCCATGAATCAATCTTGTTTCCTAACAAAAATAGGAGAGACAACAAACGGAAGAGAAACATAAGGGTGATCCAATGTGGGCGAAAATGACAAGGGATGATCCGACTCTTTAAAAATACAGTAGTTTTTCTTTTTTATCAGATTAACGTTACTGTCATCAATTGCAAATAAATAGAGAATAAAACCAAGGTTGTGGGATATGGAAGAGGAAAAGAGATGCAGTCTGACTTGCCCCCAGGGTGGCCGGTGAGAGAAAAGAATGGACATATTGTAGTATGAAGCACTTTTTCTATTTTCATAATTGATTTACTTTTATAATCTACATTGTTTAAGCACATAAATGATAACATTGAAGTGAAAGTACACGCCATATATTACATGGCAATATATAATAAATTATCTATTTTCCTATTCAAATCATCTATTTTCTATAATAAAGTATCTATATAATGAAACAAACAAGAGTCCCCAAAGTGTAAATTTTAAGATAGTTCCTACAGTCGTTCTTGCAGATAAAGTCACAAAAGACTTCTTACATGTGTCCTTTTTTAATAATCTTTTTCTTCTGTGTTGGAAAAGACTATATCCGGTAAAATAATCACCTAGACCAAATGGCTTAACCTGTTCTAACCTAATTGAATTTTTTTTTACGAGGGTTCGCAACAGCAGAGGTCACATAAACCCTCAGGGTGTTGGTGTTTTTGAAAAAAGCCCATTTATAAGGATGTCGGGTTCGAATGCAGGGCCGCTGGATCCGGACCCAGGACCTTTACCTTACAGTGATGAGCGCCGTGTCAACGCCTAAACCATTGCGGCCACCGACGCCACCCTTCTTCTTATTATTTTTCAATAATAAATTTATAGATTAATAAAAAAAAATTATACTACTTAAAAAAACCGTCTCTGAACTGCAAAATATTGCACCATGGCAAAGTAGTTTAAATTAAACGAATTGTTCTAACCTAACTATAACTCCAAATTAAAGACGTTGCATATGAGTTTGTTTTTATAAGCACTTGCATTATTATTTTGATTGTTGTTTGCAATTGTTCTTGCATATAAACGTACAAAAGAAAATATGTGTCTTTTTAAAAAATAATCTTTCCTTCTGTGTTGGAAAAGATATCACTATAAAATAATCACGTAGATCAAATGGCCTAACCTGTATTAATTTAACTATATCCGCAAAATTAAAAAAAGAAAAAGTATGGGTTTCCTTTACGACCAATTGACTTTCAGTGAATTAGTTTTTATTGTTATATTCTTACAAATAATGATAAAAACAGACTTGTGTAGATCTTTAATTTATGAGACAAACTAAGACATTTGTAATATATTTTTAAAGAAGAAAAATGTCTATTTCTAATGTATTCTCTATTATAAAAATATTACGTTATATATGCTTAATTGTAAAATTAAAGTTTTACATAGACAAATTTTCATTTAAAAGCAGTTTCCATTTACATCATTTGTATGAATAGAAAGATCCTTCCAACCATCCCTAAGAGAGATTTGCAGTTTGACGATACAGATTATAGGTTTATAAACGTAAAGAAGCGGGACTTTCGAAATAAAAAATTTAGAAAGTTGAAAAAGGCAATAAAACATAATGAAATATTATTATCAATTCTAATTTTACAGAATCCCAATTATCGATTTATTGCCGACAGAAAAGTAATTTCTTTAGATTCATCGATTGATAAAAATATACGTTGACGTACTTAGTTAAGTTGTCTGTAGAATGATAAAATTGACTGTTGTGACCTCTGCCTCGTAAACGTTTTTTAGTACCTTCTCTTGAAATTTATATCTAAATATATAAACACCCGTTCATCCTTGCAAAGGTACAAGGACTCGAACAAAAGTTTGCCATAATCCTTGAAATTTTATTACTCATTGGGAATTACAATCCACTTTTTTCAACTGAAATCAATCTTTTAAAAATAATATGACTTATGAGTAATAGGTACGACCCACATCCTTGGCACGTATAACCTGTTGCTAAGTTGTTTCAAAACAGCCTTACAAACGATATTACCTATGCGCTTTATTTTTATTTTTCCGGTTTAGACGTGATTTGTTCACAATGAAAAGTGGTAACGGGGCTTTACAATTAATGAAGTCTGTATTATTATGGACGATTAAGTCATATAAAATATCCTTATTGGTAAGCTTTATGAATGCATAATGTGAATTGCCTGCTTTAATAGATGATTTTAATTTTGAATTGAACTAAATACAAATCGGAATATGAAATCAGAATCTTATTCCTACTTGTTTTGTCGAGTTTTAATTATTTCAAAATTTTTAACGTTTTTGTATGCA